TGTTGCATGGAGGAATGCTGATAGTGAGTGCGATTCGGCAGTGCCAAGTCATTCCAGCCCACTTCCATTGCCCTCCCTTCACACACACACACACACTCATGCATGGATTGAAAGACAGGCACACAGCCACACATGCTCAATCATTTATGCAGCAATCAGTGCTGACGTCTTTTCCACACGTACGATTACCGGCATAGAGAATCGGGCCCTACTCTCGGTTATGTGGAGCATATTGGGAATCGAAATTGAGTGCGGGTTAACAATGAGGCAGCTGAGATTGCGCCAGCTCCTCTTGAACCTCTGTTCATGGTGAATTTCATGAATTTAAATCAATGCGACCCGCTGTTCAAAGATACCTGAAAAGTACGAAAAGTAAGTATGGGCATTATAAATATTTAAGTGCGTCAAATGAGAATGAAACATAGAGATACTGCTATTCGATTAGCTGACATATACTTTGCTGATAAAAAATATATAAATTATTTGTTATTATTTTTAAGATTTTGCTATAATTAACGATTATATAAACTAGTTTGTTGTTTTAAAAACTTAAATTTTACACAAATCCGCACAACTCCCCGCTAGATTAAAACTTTATATTTAACCACAAGCTCATAAACACGGGAAACTACAAAAAGAATCACTTTTCGCATCACCCGCAGTGCGAAAGTGCAAAAAAACCGATTGGATGATTTGAAGGTTGAAATCAAATTAAGTCAAGTGAATAAATTGACTTTTAGTGCATATCAAATTCGCAAAAAGCGCACCCAAATAAAAATGAAATGAAAAAAATGCGTTGAACAAATAATTTGAAAGCGAATCCATAGAAACTCATCGCTTGCTGGCAGCGAAAGCTTATGGAACAGAGCGAAAAAGGCATTCAGATGTGACAAACTAAAAAAAATTTAAAAAAAAAAATAATACTGAAAGCAGAGAATTGAACGCAAAAACACAACCAGAAAGAGCAAGTCCTTATAGTCTTTAATGGTTAAAAGTTGTAACTTTAGAACTAAACAATAAAAAAGGAAAAGAAAGTAGGCAATGAAAATGTTGCTATAGGGAAGTAGTATTTAACGTTCGCAAAACTAAAACTTCTCTTGCCCTAAGCCACATTAAATATATTTCTTAAAATATACAGTAAAAATTGAATATTTGAAAAGATGAAAAGCGATGATTCAGTCGACTTCACAGAGTTGATTAGTTGCAAGAGCAGGTGCGAGGAACTAGCTCTGCCCAACGTGCAACACATCAAGGATATACGCGAGTTCATGTCCGATCCGGAAAACTTCAACGGCGACATCGATGACTTGACTGAGCGACTGACAGCTAAAGCAGAGCAATGCCATAATGTGCTTGAAATCTTAAAGGGCAGGCTGCACTTAAAAACGCTGGCTTTAAAACAAGTAAAGGAGGATATTTTACAATTAAGTTTGGAGGCCAAAAAACCTAGGGCAGACAATCGATTTGCGATGAATGGCGAGAAAGTAAGAATTCATTTTCTAGACGAAACGGAGGCCCATGAATACGAGGCACTCGAGGCTCTGGATCGTTACAGTATCAAGATGAGCTCCCTATTTTCCGAGATTCTAGCTTTAGACAGCGATGTGGACTGCGTGACCTATCTGGAGGGAGTTTCCCGTATCAACATTGACTATGTCAAGGATTGGTACAAAAGTGAGACTCAAGATAAAAAAGAAATGGGCGATGGACCCACAACAAACATTTAATACGCAAGAGAATAGTTTTAAAGATCTTTTAGCAAAAATTTCTATTAGTTTGTTCTATCAATTCATTGTTTTAAGCCATTCCCCGAAGAATAAACAGAAATTCAAGTTAACTATTAAATATAATGCATTTTTATATGGTATTTAGAAGGATCTTTAATGAGTTTAGCCTTAAAAATTCTTATTCACTTTTAAATCCTATCCTTGTGAAATCCTCCTCTGAGATTGGATTTTTCCTGCCTCCATCGTGTCCTTCCAACTCCTTTCCGTTTACCTGTCACTGCCAGCCCTGTGTCCGCTTCATCTTCATTCCCCGTCCATGAATAATCCGTGCGACACTTGCGTTTTATGGCTTTGTATAGTTAGGAGCTGTTAAAGGAGGTCCCTGTTCCCGGACAAGGCTTCTCCTCTTAGCCAGCGTTTAGCTGGACCTGGGGAGCAAAATCTGTAGCTGCACAGAGAGAAAAGGATTAGTTTATAGCCAGTTCGAGTGATTCTCGGGGAAAATGTTTGCCATTTAAAACACAATGTACTGTTTCTTAAAAATTCAAAAAGCGGCATATTGAAATATTTAATATTAATAATTATCTCATCTGGCAAGTAATTAAAAGTAATAAGAAAGTCATTTTAACAAATTTTTATTTATGAAGTAAAAATCTGTCATTCATTTAATATTTAAACGATCAAGACTTAAGCCAGTAATTCTTTATGTTACCTTGCTATGGGTATATGTTCAGCTAAACTTTATTATTTGCCTTCGTTCAACAAGTCTTATACTGGATCTTATGCTTTTACATTCTAATTTATTCAACATTTTAAAGTAGAAGTTCTAATGTTTATAACTGAAAATCCATACTTTTCTCAATGTGCCCAGCAAGTTGGCCAACGGAGCTGGAAGCCAACAACAGGTTGCGTGCCAGTGCAGTTTTTCATTGTGCAATGTCGGCGCTGATAGCGAGTGTAATTATTATGCTGGACTGCGGGTATGTATACTCCAGCTAAGAGGGGGGAAGGGGGTTTTGGGAAAGGACGAATGATTTTATTTCTGATCCTGGACACTCTTACTTGTTTCTCCCTTTTTCTGCTGTTGCTATTGCTGTTGCCATCCACTTTCAGACGCATAAACGCCGCTAGTTATGCAATAAATAAAATGCAATTGTTGCGCCAGAATGGCTAAAAACTAGTTTGGGAGTTCGGGGAGGGGGAGTGGCTTTTTGGCTCCGGACTTTGCCGCCATGTTTGTGAACAACTGCAAGATGGCGCCCCGCATCCGTTATAACTGAACATCCAATCCAGTGAACACTTTCGCTGCTTTTGTTGTTGGGCGTCTGCTACACTTCCGGTTGGAAAAGTTGTCGCGTTGGCTGCGAAAGGGGGGGGCGGGGGACTCCTTGTCTCTGGCTGCTGCTTTAATTTGACAAAATATCGCATTTAAGTACTGGCGAAATTTACGCTCCTCCAACAGCAGCATCAAGGCAAAAGGTCAAGGGATGGCATAAATAATGCAGCGAGAAACGAAAACGACAAAGTTGCGGACTTGAGCTAAACGTTTGCTGGCCAGCACTCACTTGGCCTGCATAGAAATTGCAGCTTATGGTTGCTAATTGAGTGTTCCGAGTCTGTGCAGGTGGCCTAATGTAGGTAATTAGTGCGGGCAACTTTGCCAAAAAGATTCCGGCACAAAGTTGCCACCGACGGGCTTTTGTCAATTGCATAACTTGTTGGCTTGGGCGAAGATATACGTAAGATTGGATAACAAAGGTTTAAATTTAGAATGTCTTTGGCAAGCTTAAATCATGTTGAATAATTCCTTAAGGAGGCTTAACGTAATTAAATATTTAAATCTATAAACCTGCAAAACAAATATTACAAGTAAAGACTCTTTACATTGACACTTAAATAGACATAGTTAAACGTACTATTCTGGCAAATTGTAAATGTCAAAGGGTATTTAGGGCACTCTGGAATATTCTGAGTATGGGATATCTCTCAGGCAACTAACATAAAAGCCTATACAAAGATATGCACTCTCAGCTAACTGAAATTTCATGTACATGCACTGCCATCTATTGAGTTTAAACTCGATTAAGGCTACGCACCAGCAGACCGGTATAATGCAGATGTTGGGGGAATATAGCTGTCCAGTTTATGGTCAATTTGAGAGCTGTCCGAGAGCATCTACCGGCAGGACTCTATGCTCCAGGACATGTGGCTGGGTGCTTTTGTCTGGCCAACGTGGACAACTTGCCACATGTGGCAAATTAACTTAAAATTAAGCAATTAATTTAATTAGGGCACGCCGTGTGCACAGTGCGGCCCCAAAGATTTGCCGCTCATGCAACAGTTGCAATTAAGCAGCCTTCGCACACAGATGCCTCCGCACAAACACCAACACAAACACAAACACAAACGCAATCACAGTCACACAAACACACAAACACACTCTCACTCAGGGAAAACAATGCTGTTTCAGCTGCGATTGCATTTTAAGCGCATGCGGAAATTACAAACTCAAATTGATAAAGCCAAACCGGTGCACATGTTGCTGGTGTGGCGCACATGCAGCAATAAAAACCGGGCTATACAAGGTGAAAAATTGGCTTACGCCTGGGACTCGGCAATGCCAAAGAAAATCGAGTGCCAGCACATATGCCATTCGAATGCAATGCATTTCTCCATTAAGCAATTAAATGCAATTCATCAACTGACATTCGCAATTCACACAAAAAAACAACAACGTATTAATAAGGGATGCGTATAAAAACTTTTATAAATTAAAATTTGTACTGACAGGCAACATTGAAAGGGTTTTAAAGTCAAACGGAAATTGCTTTCAATTAAGTGCAAATTTAAATGTAACTGCTTTTCAGTTAAAGTTTCAAGGTTTACTTCAGTGCGGCCGTATGTTGTGGAATATCATTGCCAACTAAAGGCGGAGGTAGTACAATACATTTTGCTTTTACATAAAGTTTTCAAATTATGTTGACGACATCACAACTAATTTTGTGCAGAATTACTATTTAAACTTTATGACTACTAACTTTATTAACTTCTACTAACTAACTTCAATTTGTTTGCTATGTTTTAAAAGTTATATCGGCATTATTTGCAAATAAAATATTTTTAGATTATAAAAATTCATAAAAAATATTTAATTTAGTCTTTGCAGATCTAAGGATAAATACATTTCAATAATTTGTGTAAAATACAATTTTAAATCAGCCGATTTAATAAAATATTGTAGTTAATTAAAATAAGTAAACTCTTGTCAATAAATTTGTTTTCAGTCAATTTATTTCACGCTTATGGCTAAGATCCAATTAGAGGCACTTAAACTCCATTTCTGTGTAAACTATATCGTTATTTATATGGTCAAGTCATCAAGCACTTTCTGCTCCATTAGCCGCTGCCAAAAAAGGGAAATTCATCCCCATCAGCATGCTGTACAGCTTTCTGCTATCAAAGAGAATGGAACAAAATAAAATGTCGAAAAGTGTTAGACGATTGGTAAGCGGCTTAGTGGTGATTCTATTTATTTTTGCTTACTAGATCGAGTCGGAGCACTTGCCCTGGGCATCGCGCACCTGATGATTTCGGCAGCGGGTGGGTTTCTTCGTTGCCGGCATCGAAGATCGTTGAACCTTCACCTTGAAAATGGGCGAGTTGTGTCCTTTGGGCGGCGTGTACTCAATGCTTTCGGGCAAAGTGGGCGGGGTAATTGCAGCAGTGGCGGTGGCAGCTGCAGCCATAATGGGTACATCCTTGGATCTGGCATGGAGATGAGGATGATGCAGTGGCTTGGCTGTGCCACCGATCGGCGTCTCCACGATCATCAGATTGTTAAGCCTGGATCTGGGCTTCGATAAACTGGCCGCGATGTCAGCCAAAAGATTGGAGCTAAAGCTGGTATTTAGATTTGCATCGCCGGCGGTGGATATGACTGCAGATGGAGATGCAGTGGAACTTGCCACTGGGGAAACTGTGGTGGCTGTGCTCTCTGGCGGTGCTGCCACCGATGTGGTGCTCGTTGTGGTGCTCGTTGTGGTGCTGGCCTCTGTGGTTAACTTGATCGGCTTGACGGTCAACGCACTGTCATCGTAGTAGTAATCCTCCTCATCGTTATATGTCTCCTAATTGAGAGATCCAAAGTTATTTTTAGCTTGCTGGCAACTCGTTAGCCTTAGCTGCATTTCGGTTAACTGGTTTGTGGGCCCACACACTCACCTCAGCCAGTCCATTCTGGCCCACCTCGATAATGGCCACATCCTTGATGCTCACATGGATGTTGAATCTGCCCGTCTGCCGCTGATCGAAGACCACTCGCCCTGAATCGGGCACATCGCTGGTTGCCGGCGTTTCAGCCTCGTCGATGGGCAGCGTTTGGACCAGGCCAAAAGCTAGCAGTGTGAGCGATACGAGCAGCATGTTCAAATTGAAACCAGTTCTAAGAAGGGCTCGAAAATAATCTTTGCTTCCAACACGAGTGTTCTTCTTGAAGGTGCGATCACAACTGCGTTGATCGTTGGGTTTGAAGGCCATACTTAAAGGCACAAATAAGCTGGCCAACACTGTGGAAAATTCTTTTGAAACCTACTACAACTATCACAATTTTATTATAAAACGGGCTAAGCAACTCAAAATTATTCATCAGAAAATAATATTTCCACACAAGTTCTACTTAAAATGTAATATAATTCTTATTTTAATTGTAATTTAATTGTACATTATAAAGAAATTACGAAATCAAACTTTACTGAAAAACAAACTCTTATAAACTTTAAAAATAACATCTTTAATAATTTTTAAATTATAATAAAGACTATATGTTTGCAATTAATCTTTTATTTTGAGAAAATTTTTTAACTTATTGCCTAGATTGACCTCAAACTTTTCCCAATTTTGTCTCTCTTAATTACACAAAAGAATGTTTTTTATTTTTCTTAATATTGAAGCTTGTTTATGATGGCAAAATCGATTTTCTTGCTTTCAAATTCAAATTTTTAACTGAGCACCGATTAAGCTGCATTCAAATATTCCCAACCATTTAAGCGGGACCATATTTAGTCCGATACATATACATAAATATATGTCCACAGTGTTTACTCTCTACTAGGCAAACACAAACGCCACCTTTGAGGTGCTAAAGAGTTGCTTAGAAGAGCTAGAATGCCAGCAGGAAACTAAGCGGCTAATACCAAGTGCATATAATCATAAAGGTAAACAGATGGACATACGAGTAAATAGTCAGACAGTCCAGTTGAGTTCATTTGATGGTCTGTTTATGTGGGTGAGTGACGTGGGAATAGCTTCAAAATGTTTAAGAATATTCAACTATTTAAATGGGTATAAAGTGCTGCCTATATATGTTCATTAGAGAGATATCCCCAGTTTAGATAAATGATCAAAACTGAGATTTATGTTCCCCATTTATTTCCTTAAGCCCCAAACAAATCATAATTTAAGGTTGAACAGGCACAACCACTTCACAAGTTCATCGAAAAGTCATTAATTAATCGATACCTCGGATCCATCTAGTTCTACCTTTCCAATTAGTTACCATTGAGCAATTAGGAGGTCAGTTTCTTGTGCGCGGCCAATCAACGCTCCAGCTCCATTTACATAACACCTAACCACTAATTATGCAATTATGCAAGCCAGTTCCAGGGAAATCATATGCCAAGACCACTTCTCGACCATCATGGTCCCTCATTTGTATGCAACGTCATGCAGAGTGCAAAATCAGCATTTCTCATTAGATGAAATTCTCAGAACCCAAAAACGATGAAAAAATGCTAGCCTCAAAAAATTAGATTAATTTGAAATGAAATTTTATCCAGCTGGCAGCCGCTATCCACTTTCCTTCGGGGCTAGCCGGCATTTGTAATTAGTTTTTAGCGGATTCTGGGCTGCAAACATTTCAAGGTTTAATGCATGGCTGGCAAGCCTTGAGAAAACTTTTTCGTCTTTTGGGTCAGACCTCTGTCAAGCTCAGCTACAAACAAACAAAAAAAAAAAAAAGATCGCAAAAGGGTAGAAAGGAGCTGGACGCATATGAAGTGTATAAATTACACTTCATCATGAATTTATTATCAGTGCTGCAGCAGCTGCATCTGGAGCTGCCACGAATGCACCACTGCAGCACGCTGGCTCAGCACAAGATGTGCTCCTTTCCTTCTCACCTGCACACAAACACACTCACAACAAGGGTGAAAGCCGGAGCTTTAAGTACCCTTTTAGGTCAATGGATAGTAAACCAGTTTTGAGATACATATGATAACTCATTAGACATATAATCTCAAGTTTTCCAAAATCTAAAATTGTAGAACTTTGGAGTCAATGATTTAAACATGATCTTAAACATTTTTCAAATTCATTCGATTTTCATTTATTAATATTTTAACAGTACAGCTATTTTTTGTAAAGATTTATTTAATTTTATCCATCTAAGCATTTATAATTTCCAATTTGAAATTTTTGACGAACACGTGAATATTCAAGACTTTATATACACACAAAAACTTTTAAAAATTCACTTTGCTCTTTTAGAAAGTTTTTAGGCTTTTTTTAAATGCTAGGTTAAAATACAACAATATATAAAATATTTATTGTAAGTATATTTACATTTAAGAGGCGTTTTATTTCCATTGGATTTAATTGAAATATATGTAAAAATTAGCATACTTCTAATTATTATTCATATTGAAAACAATTTTAATTTTTTTAAAAACGTTTTAAATATGATAATAGCTAAATTACACTTTAGAAAGAGTATGAACGGAGTACTAAACACGCAGCCCTGGCAACAACAGCATTGGTGGGATGTTGACCAGAGCATGCATTTTTCGCGCCAGCCAACTTGAAATTGTGTAAACTCAGCGAAAAAATATTAATTCTAATTTCCAAAGCCATCCCAGACCAAGGACTTTCGCCTTTGCCTTAATAAATGCTTGCCATTTAGCAGCACCTTTAATTCTGCACTTTATGCGAGACGGAAGAAACTGTTTTTTCTCCTTTTTACCGTCGTTACACGACCATTTGGAGCTTTCATCAATTAGCTCCTTGAAAGCAGAAAAAAGGAAGCAAACGTTTAGTAGCTTTTAGTGTCGTGAAATCCAGGCCAAAGGCTTATGCGAAAGACTTCTGCCTTACGTACTTTTCGGCAAAAACGCTTTCGTAAATAATTGTCAGGCTTAAAGGGCCCAGTTTGGCAAATCGGATTCTTGAGTGGATGAGTGAAATGGACTGTCAAATACAAAAACAGCAGATGTTCATTTGCCGAGATGCAAATTTCACACTTTCTTTAAAAATGCCACTTTTAGATAACTCAAAATAATTGACCTGCATTTGGTAGACACCTTAAGGTGTTGATTCATGCTCAATAAATTCACAACAATTTATTGCCATATACAATAGTCCCCGATCAATGTTTGAGTAGATTAAATAAATAAGGTTTGGCAAGACAGGGGTTTTCATGAATTATAAAGCTCATTTCATGGGGGACATTTGTTGGCATTACACATATATTAACTGTACAAGTAAGAACTAAATAACCCGCATATTGTTCAAATGTTTGGGACACAAACTCGTTTTGTGGTGAAAAGGGCTGTTGATTTCAACTTTTTAACGTGTGTTCAACCCCATTGATATAAATCAGTGTTTTGTACATTCATATTTTATATCTTTACTTAGGAAATAAATTACCCAATCTCCGAAGATGGTTTTTTGTTGCTTATTTTAAGAAAGGTATTCATTAAGAAAGGGTCCATAAATTGTATTTTGGGTTTATATACCTTTTATTAAAATTGTTAAATAATGTCAGATTAATTTAATGCTAGATGGCAAAAGTACTTAAAAAAGGAATTCACATTTTTAAAAAAAGGTGTAAGCCAAAGAAAAATCGATTTTAAATCGCATTATTTGCAATGACATGAAAATTATATAATTATCTTAGCTTCCATTTTCTCATGCAAACAAGTGATTATCAATGTCAAAGGTTAAACATTGCCTGTCAGCAAGCTTAGAAAATGTTTTGATTAATGTTTCGATATATCCAGAGCTCAAATATGAAGGCCAACAAAAAATAGGTCTATACAATGTTGTCAACGTGTTTGTGTATATGCACTTTGGTTTTAAACTGCCGGCAAGCAATTCAACCCAACCAGGTGGTGAAAAAAATTAATTCGATAATTAAACACAGTGCGTTCATCGTTTTAATCTCTGCGAACTTTTTGCATATTAATCACTTAATTAGGTTAACATTATTAAAATAAACACGCCAGTCTCTCTGCCGGTTTTGTGTATTTATCAGGTAAACACACGAGGACAAGCACACACACATGTATGTGTGTGACTTTATTTTATGTGACGCAGGTGTTCAAAATGGTGGGCTCAAAGGTTCATTTAAGCTCACTTTGTATGTTTGTGCGTTCATTAGGCCAACTATACACGACGCCACCTAGTGGGGCCTCGGTGTACTTCCGTAAAGGTTTTCACACAGAAAAAAATATATCGTTGCTACAGAAAAATATAACAATTATATACAAATTGTTGTTATACTTTATTATAAAGTGAAATTATTGAAAGAAAAATACTCTTGGAACTGAACTAAAAGCATTTTCCTTTCTAATCCAAATCTTTTATAACTTGAGGGAAATTAAAAAATGGAAATTATTCTTTTTTTAAACCAATAGTGATATTTTTCCCTGTGTACATGCCAGGAATGCCACCGATTAGATATGGAGAAATTCATACGGCAGACAAATAAACGCGGACTGCAGCCGCGAAGGAATGTGTGTGTATCCTTATCACAAAGCACATAAATAATATTTATTGTTCTTTATGGGGCAGCTCCAGGGGCAGCGAAGATGCCAACCCCAGTGTCTAGTGTCAGTTGGGAAACATTCAAGTGTTTCAAATATTTTTTAACAGCTTTCCCCCGACACTCGCACACACACACGCCCCCGGAAAATGTCTTCATTGCGCTTTAATGAAATGCGTGGGGTAAAACTTGGGATTTGACAGCGGGTTGGGGGTTCCCCGTTTGCTCTTCTTATTTGCACTTTAAATTGCGCACAAAAGTATGCTCACAGCCTTCATAATAAACACAATTTATGTGCCGCCTACCTTTTCGTTCCCTTTTTCCTTTTTGGTAAACATTTCTCTGTCAGAACTTTGCGATTAAGTAATTCCAAAAGTTGTTTGTAAAAAATTACTCAAGTCCACGGAATGTGTTTGCTAGTAATATTTTAAATTGAGCGACACTGCCATCTGATATTAATAATATTTTTTCGGGCCATGAGCCCTGTGTCTCCGACGAAACTTTCAGCAGATTTGCCCTAAAGTAAGGTTCATCTCATGCCGCAAAGAGACATCAATCAACTTGAGCATCAATCATTGTGAGGTTCAGTTAGCAGAAGGTGAGTGACGAATGCCGAGGAGATGGCAGCCAGGATTGCAAGGTGACAACAGGGGAAATTATATTTGGTTGGGATAATTGTTCAACGGGTGAGTAAATAAATCGGCATTGCAAAACGATTTTGGCCACTTAAACTTTAAATTCTGTGTCCATTAGCTTCTAATACCTTAATATATTTTAGCAATTTAACTTACATATTTATTAATTTATTTTCTTATTAGTTTTTCTTTGCTTAAAGACAAGAGCCAAATAAATGCACCAACTGACGTCAATATAATTTTTTACTCTTTAAGCAATGGGGTTGAAAACACCCTTCATATTCTGCCAGCTCATTCGAGTGTTGTGGCTTATAATTGCGGCTTAAAACTAAAGGACCTTTACCCCTTTCAGAATTGATGACTTGCCACATTCGTGCTACAAAAAGCTTTAACTTTTAGATCTCTGCTTAGATTACAACAAAAACCTACAAGGGTGCGAACTTTTCAAGCGACCCAATGTTTCGATCTAGTTCAGTCTTACAAAATGTTTGCTGGATTGCATTTCGTTTGTGGGCTTTGGCTCCTTCGCGGGGTCTGTGGCATGCCGAATCATAGTGTCTTTGGTGGAAGTTATGAATCGGAGTTCATACATAATCTGACCAGACAAATGATCGCCGACAATCGAATCGAAACGCTGGCCACCTATGGAGTAAATCGTGAATTGCAGCGAATTCGGTTTGTTGTGGCAAAATCTATTGAACAATCGTTAACGGAAGAGTTCCAATTACCAATCGTTGTTTGGGGACTGAGACGCAATGTCACTCTGCGTCATTTGCTGGGCTACAAAACTTTAATCTGTGTTAGCATTACCAGTGTACTGCCCGACGAAGAGCCCATTTTTGATGTCCTAGTCGATGGATTAGTTGGCTTGCACTACGTTCCCATGCTCTTTATATACAAGCGATTGGGAAACAAGAGCCCAACAGAGATGCAGTTGAATATTTTCTTCGCCTGGTGCTGGCAGCACAGGTTCACCAATGTCTTTATCACCTTCCAGCTATTTATTTATAAGGAACCTTCTGGAAACTTTAGCACCAATTGGCACAACCAACTGTATACCTATACACCATTTCCCAAGCTCACGGTTCGGAATCTGACCGATACGGGTTATCAAAACGTGGACATATTGATGGATCTAAGGGGCTATGAGTTTCGAGTGCCTTTCTTTCAGGATCCCCTCAATGTGTTTAGGGTATGAAATCTTTTTTAAATTGTAACTATCATTATAAAAGAAATTAAGCAAAACTGAAATCCAAACAAAAAAAATTATCAATATTGAAAAATAACATTAATAAATAATTAACAAAAAATAAATACATATCTTGAAGAGGTTAAAAATTGGTCACTTCTCACCTTTAATAACAAAAGTTGTTGATATAAATTATATGTCGAAAATATATACAATATTGTAGCGAGACAAACAAATAATTAAACCGATTTGTGTATATAAAATATAAAGCTATAATTTCGTAGACATTTTTGATATGTGGATTTTTTGTATTTACCACTAAACTAACGGGCATAAAATAAATACCTAAAAATTAGCATTGCTTAATATGTTTATTACCACAACTTGTATTCATAATAATATCCATTTTAAATAGTTTTAATGAGAAACAGATTTTACTTGCACAAAATTAGGATTATATTTCCATTTCATAGGGAACACAATTGTATATGCACATTATTATTCATTAATTTTGTTTTTCAGCTTCCAAACGGACGTCTGTCCGGGGCCGTGGGCCGCCTGATGGCCGCCTTCGTGCACCACAGAAAGGGGCGACTCCACCTGGAGCGTGTGGCCCATGTGGATAGGTACAATTACCCGGAGCACCTGATGCTAGCCGCTGCCCGCGGAGAGGTCGAGATGGGCGTTCATCCGTACTCTCCAATGCAGCCGGGCTCCTCGCTGACGGCCGGGAGTTTTCCGGTGGGGACCACCCGAACCTGTATTTTAGTGCCATGGCAGCGGGGATCGCCTGCAGTCCGATATATGCGGATGGTTGCCCGTGTAAATTTTCCATTTTTCCTGATACTCCTTCTGGCTATGACCTTTTGCTGGAAGCTGGTGTGTGGGCAGGGACAAAGGGGCATTCAGCTAACACTGGTGGCCTTTTTTCAGCAATCGCTGTCGGGCATTGAATTCCAGCGGCTCGCGGAGTCGTACAAGTTTATCCATGTGGCCATGGTACTAGGGTCCTTCATTCTGTGGTCAATGCGCACAGCAAATCTGTCATCAGTCTTTACCTCGCAGGTAGGTAAAAAACAATATGCTTATAGTGAAACCAGAAAAAAAGGTTTTGCTAACTATTTAACTGACATCTCAAACATATTTAAAACAATAATACTTTTATCAAACCTGGTTAAAAAGTTAGACGAAATTAGATAGATATTTTGATAAAGATATTTTAATTTAGGTATTTTGAGATATATAATATATTTCATTCTTTAAAATGAAAAAATGAAAAATTTTTTATATTTTCAATTATAAGACGTCCTTCTAATAAATATTCAAAAGCGACTAAGGTTTGTATCACATTAAAATACAATAAATAACTTTCCAAAGATAATTTTTGTAGGCCTTTTTTAATTGTTAAAAACATAACTGAATGTATAATATAATTAAGAATATTTATTAAATAAATAAAAGAAAGAAAACTTATAATTTAATATATTTTAGATACCTGGGTCACAGATAGACACGGATAGGGATTTTCTGGCTACGCCATTGCGTCTTATGCTGACGGAAACGGAGGTGGAAATGTATTTCACCGCCGGACGTCTGCCTTCGGCACTGAAGCCACGCCTTCTGGTGGTCAACAGTACGACGCTGATGGAGCATCTGGGCAGCTTGAATACCAGCTACGCCTACTGCACCACCGCGGAGCACTGGAATGTGGTTGAGCTGCAGCAGCGGCAAATGTACCGTCCATTATTTCGACTTGCATCGAAGATGTGCACACCCCAACAAATACTGCGATTTCCCATCCAAAGGAATTCGCCCTTCGCGAGGAACTTCTACAGCTTTGGCATTTTTTGGCAGGAGTTTGGATTCTGGACTTTTTGGTGGAGGCAGAGCAATCGGGAAGCTATTATCACGGGCCTCGTTATTCACCTGACGGACGACTATCAGCCGGTTCAGAGTCTGTCTCTGGGGGATATTAAGATGCTGACAAAACTATACACTCTTTGCTTGATAGGGTCCAGCCTGTGCCTTCTAGTCGAAATTGGTTGGAATTACTATAGAAACAACAGGGCTGAAAACTAAAACTAAATATGAAGAAAAATACTAAACGTTTAGTGTCATTTGTCATTACATTTTCGAAATATTTATGTAGTACTCAATTAAAATTATTATAGGCCATTATTTTTTCCGAATCCTCTTGAAATATCGAAACAGTTATCAGAAATAAATTAATTAATTTAAAATAAACATTTGTATGACTTTAATATAATCAGATGACCGTTTAACTGCTTTAAAGAACTTAAGGTGAGTACGTTTTAAACTAAACCAACAGTTTGACTTAACAAGAATGAAATTTTAACAAGTTCCTTTAATAATTTAAATATATATTCGTTTTTTGAATTTGGAGACCCAATAGAAACTTCTATTAAGGAAGTTTTTAAACTCCCAAATATCATCCAATATGAAATACAATATGGAACTCCTGTTTTGAACCAAGCGCTAATACAGTGACCATTGGACTTTATCCTTGTAAACTCGACTCTGCCTCAGGGCGGAACATCCATGTTTGAGCGCAACTCATTTGGCTTAACTTTTGTCTAGAGAACTTTACCAAGCAAATCAAAGTAAGGAACGGAGAGTCGATGGGCAATTGGAAACATATCGACGACTGGGTAAATAGAAAATTCAATTTGAAACGATTGCTTACTAGATAACGAAAGCCTGACTGCCTGCCCGCCTTCCTGCCAGTCTGTCTGTTGTGCACTTTTGGGCCAGCCTTCAGCAGAACTTTCCACAGGCAATCCGCATGGCATACGCTCCTCGTCCCCATTTCCATTCCCATCATGTAAGCTCAGCACTAACCCCCCCAGTTCCCTTCCAAACCTTGCCCAATTCCCGCCCATGGCTCCTGCCCACTCAGCAAGTTGGCCACAAACAAACTTCCTGTATCGATGGTAGCACACACGTAGCGTTATCGCCCAGCCCCCGGGCCAATATCTAAGTGAAAACACAGATCAACAGTACGACAATCAGCAGAGAAACAGGCCCAGACCCCACAGACTCACATCCGCAGACAGGAACACATATTCCCATTCCCATTCCCACTTCCACATCCACATCTAGTGCTTTTCCAATCCAAAAACTCGCACCTGCAACGTAGGCAACATGAGACAAGGCAAAGGTAAAGGCAAAGACAAGGCCGAAGGCCCCAAGGCATCTGCACCGGGGGAAAAAAAAAGTATCTTAATGTACATGTTCAAATCAAGGTTAGTTTTTGTTTTTTTTTCATACACAAATAAAATATTTTTAATGTGACTTCACAGTGAAACCAATAGGCGAGCTTTATAACATGAAGTTACTTCACTGCAAGATTCCCAATTGCCTAAAAAGGTTCAATCGTTACCTAATAACAAAATATTGATTAACTTAAATAAAACTCATTGACTTGGTTGAAATTTGTATATAAACCATAAATTATAATGTTATTATATAATAAGACTCTAAAGATTTACCTTTTGATTTATAGGCCCATTTTTGTTAAACAACGAAAAGCTAGATTGAAATTACAAAAATGTAAGCATGCTGATTTTAGCTCAACACAAAATTTAGGGAAAGGGCAACTAATATTTAAACTGATTTTTTAATTAATTACGATTGTTAAAGCAAATAATTTCTCTTTTTGTATACCATTTCTTGTTAACAAGTTTGCCAAAACAAAATTATACAATATGGTTTTCTTCCAAGTGTGTTCTCCATTCTCCCCCACAAAATGGCAGGCAGGTTACAAATTGTATGCTCCAGCTCCTCGCAGTTTGTTCCCTTCCTTAAAAATTCTACCTCCCCGCTACCTTGGAGCACTTTGATTGGTTGAAGGCACCTTGCCCTTCCCTTATGTTTGCGGGCCAGTTGCATTTCTTGGATTGCATTTAAGCAACATTTATGCATTTTTAATGTGACAGCTGAAATGATGAGACGGCTGACTGCCAAGAATTCCCATTCCCCCACAGTTTCTTTGTGCTGACAGCGTGTGTGTAGACTTGCATGCGCCCCGTGACCCCCACCCTTTGACCCCATGGCTTATGCATTTTGCAGTGTCAAGAAAGTTTCACTCTCGTTTCACTGAGGCCAAGTCCGACAATTCCAGTAAATCATTAGATAATGTGCTTGGGATTTGCTTGGGCTCAGCACATCATGCATGATATATTGGATGGATCATACATATTTTAGGATAGGAAAATGGTCTTGTAGATAAAACAAAAAACTTTTAAAATATATATACTTAAATATTGCAACCATAAATTGATCGGTATTGCCAGCAAATCACATAAATTAATTTTTGGTACTATTGATCTATTCTTTACCAAATTTGTAACCAAAATTTGAAAAATAAGAAAAAAGGAACAGTTACAAGACAAGAGAGTTATAGAACAACTCAGTGGTTGGTAAATGCTATATTGTTGTATATGATTGCAAGCTACGCAGTGTTCTATCATAAGTGCATCAGGTTAATTTTTAAATTTAGTTAAGCACCAAGTAAAAATTGGAAATATTCTCGCCAGGCAGGCAACAGCTGCTTCGGTTGGATTGGATTACCATAAACTGGCAGCCACCACCACTCCATCCAGCACCATTAATAGGCCACTTTGGGCCACATCCAAATGAGGGCCTGACCACAATTGACTGCCAACTAGGCGCGTGCATAATCATTGCAATTTTGTATGATTTCCAGTCTTGTCCCCCTTTTAACCGCATCGCCCACGCAACACAATCGCCCTACTTGAATGGCAAATGGCACGCGGCGACCGCAAAAAGCAACGTACATTGGTCCTGTATCGACACTAGCTTTTCCCGGGACCAAAATCCTTACTTCAACGCCCGTAAGTATGCAATGCTACTTGTACCCAGTATCTGGGGAAATTCAGTGGGCGTATCATATTACTGAAAATACAGAAGGCGTTCCTTATCTTACACTTTAATGTACACATATTTTCAGAAAGTAAAATTTTGATGGCTCTTTTATAACAGGCATGGGTAGATCAAGAATAAACCTAAATAGACAGTCAACACTTCCCTTTCAGAATTGGAAAAATGCAGGGCATACTCAAAAGTGTGTGTTGATCCAAGATGTTATCATTAAAATATTTTTAATACTTAATAAAGAATAATGGATATGGATATCTTACTTATTGACGAAAACATAAAGTTGAAAAATGTGGAAACATTAGAAAGTACAGAAAGAATCGTATATTTAAATATTAAAATTTCCAAATATTTTATAGTTTGATCATAATTACGCTTACCTTTCTGTGACTTAAAACTTTTGGAAGAAAGAGTGCAGGTAACCTTAAAAAAATTAACAATTAACATTGATGTATTAATATGTAACCTATATTCAAAAACATTTAAGTCTAACTTATTTAATTTGTTCTGATATCTTAAAGCACTGCAACCCCTAAAAAAATACTTTTTTCTAGCTATTAGTGTTGATCCTTTAAGTATGCTAGCCGGATTGCTGGGTATTTAAGGATCGGAGCTTAGACCATCGCAGCTTTAGTGGTTGCGAAATGGAAACAGGAGCAATGGCAGCAGCGTCATCTGCAAGTGCAACTTGGGTGTTTATTAGCATGATTAACCCCGCCGCATTGCCGCACAAATTGCAAACGCATTGAATTTAGGTCAGCGTGGCGGATAATGAGGGGGCTGACGTTGGATTGGGGGCGTGGTGGTGGTGGGTGTAAAGCGGTTATAGGGGGTTTTGGTGTTGCGAAAATGTCAGAGCATCTTGTAATTTGATTTTGCCGTCATCCTGGCAATCGGCGCCTCTGTTTGTTGGCTGTTTGTGAGCTGGCTGTTGGTTATTGGCCTGACATTTTGCTGATTGCAATGGCCAACAAAGGATAGCCGAGTAGAGCAGCAATTTGAGTGGCTCAACGAAATGTATACCAAACAAGTTAAAGGTTCGAGTGTAATTAGTTCTGGATGCACTTCAGATAGAGTGAAAGTCACGCATACGGACCATAAACAAAAAGCCGAAAGGCTTGTCGCACTTGGCTTGTTTCGTTCCATTTCCGGTTAACCACATCCTGCGTAATAAGCGGCACTTCCGCTCTGCAATGGACTTAAGCTGTTTTGTTTTGGGCAGGGCTACCATTGTTGCTCCTTCCATGTTCTGTTTTTATTGTGAGTCAAATTTTCGTTTTAGGCAAAAGACAGGAGCTGGCGCAGGAGCACCAGGATGCTGTCACTTCCGGCCTCCTTACAAAAAGTACATTGAGAAAAAAAAGGGCAAAATATATTTGTATTATTTACAATAAATATTATTATTATATTATCATTCAAATTTTTATAGGAATTTTCCTTCATATTTCTATATAATATTCTTAAACATACATTCATTGTTAAGTTATTATAAATTTCAATTTGGAAATGAGAAATTACTTAATTGCTGACCATTTCGTACCATATTTTTCTCCCTCTGCGATCAGTCGGTCTCAGAAGTTTCTGAGCTTTGCATGTGAATGGCACGTTTTTGGGACTTCTTTTCAGCCCCCTGTGTGTCATGCAAAATGGAGAAACCGAAGCCACAAACTGGAGTTGCATTTTTATTTGCATTTCACTCGATGGCTGCCAGCAGAGCCATTGTTGCTGTAATTGCCTGTGTAGGACATGGCACTTGGTTGGCCAAAATGGAAAGACCACGCCTTCAGCCGCAGTGGAATTGCTTGTTTGTCGAGTGCAACAACTGTTGGCCCAGCATTCTGGCTGGGCTTACGCTTACGCTAAATGAACATAACACAATTTACCAGATCCACGTACCGAGTGCATAACAGTCTAATTGTTGACATAATTAACCCTCCCATCGAAACAGTCGATGCTCAACTACTGCTGCTTTCATTAACATTTCGAACATCGCTTAAATAATGCGCAATTGCAGTGTAATTGCATTGCAAGGCTGCGGCAACAATATGGCCGTGCTTTAGGACTCCGGCCGGAAGTGCAGCGGCACTTGAGATGCGCCCTGCACTCAGTGCCACCTACCAGCCACCGCCTTGTGTTATAATAGACCCACTACCCAAACATATGTTGCACAATCATTTTATTTGCACGAATTAAGCGCCTCTCGGCGGGAGTTGTGCACAGTGAGCAGAAAACAAGAATTACTGGTTAAAAATTAAATCTTGTAAATAAAATTATACCTCTTTATTAATTTTGCGGGTTTTTTTTTATAAGTTTAAGTTTTAAATACATTTATTTAATAAATACGTTATTAGTTATCCTCGCCCAAAATACAAAGTCATAAAAAATTTTGAAAATGGCCTTTAATTTAAGTATAATAACCCAATAGATAAGTTTAGCTCCTATCTTTTAAGAAAAATTAAGTAACTAGATTTTCTGAATTAAAGCAGACAACAGCAAAAATGTAAATATTTAAAATTACGCAACAAATCAAAAATTGTATAATTTACTTTAGAAACCAGACCCACATGGAAATAGTTTACAAATTATATTCTTAAATCGATTTCTAAAAAACGAAATTGCATAGAGAAAAAAGAAGAACCAATATGTGTAAGGATTTTAACTTGACTTTAATGGTACCTCTGAAATTAGTATACCCACTGTGTGCTGCCTGGTGGATGTGTGTCTGGAATTCTCCTGTGGTTGCAGTGCGGTTGTGCATTTGTGCGTGCTGCCGCTGCCACATTAGTATTCATGTGCGTGTGTGCCATTCGGCAGGTGGAAAAGGGGGAAATCGGGTGGAGACCTGGAGGTCCTGGCCAAAAAAGGAAAGGCAGGCCGTGGTGGTTGCAGCTGACGCTGATGACAACGTCGGGGTTAACTGGCATTAATGGCATGCAGCCTTTCTGATTCTGCCGCTTTAGCCAAGGAAGCCGCTGGCGAAACCGCTCCGAAAATTGTTGAATAGCAAACGTCTGACTTCGAGACCTTGCATGTGCATACCACGTGGATATGCGCCGTTTTGAATTTGTACGGTCTGGAGCATTCCTCTGCCATCCATCTCAATGTTTTGTCAGGAATTTTGAAAATGTTTTGAAACTATGGCCAGCACTTATACGTCAGAAAAAGCACTCGATTTCGTATTACAATCAGTTGTTGACGACATTTCAGTCTACCAAATTGAGTTTGATGTAAAGCCTGTTTGTGAAAAATTATAATTATTAATTGTTAAAGTTAATAAGCTAGTCTATTATTTAAAGCATTTTCCTCGATGGAGGGTGAGTGAATACAATTTAATTAAAGTTAAAGTAAGAATTAACGTTTTTTTTTGGAACTAAAAATTTTGAAAAGTATTTACTCGTTTGTTTTCCCACGTAAGCCAAAATATAAGTTACGCCCTATATAAGTCTTATGTTTTTATGTCACTATAAGAGACAAAAACAGTTTCATAAATAACTCATCGTGGTAATGTCAATTAAATAAAATGTATAGTGATTACCCTTTCAATCTGTGACTCCAAAGGGTTAGTTTCCTAAATGTTTTCCGAAAGCCGCCACGCACCGCAAAACAATTTTCACCCGCCTTTGTTATCGACACCAATGACAAACCACTTTATGTCCCATTTCCTCTTCCCCTTGGAAGCTATTAGAACCGAACAATTCGCCCAACTGGGTCAAAGTTCAGGGAAATGGAATAGAAAAAAAAATAGAAACATTGAAAAAATATAAAGCGAGGAAAGTAGTCTAGACGTGTGCCAAATGAAATCAAACATCGTATACTGATTCCGCGGCAAACCGTCGACGGTTTAGACATATTGATTTTATATCATCATCGATGGGGGGATATACAATATTCCATTAAAGCCCACCGTGCGTGCCACTTGCAATGCGTGTGCTGCGGTGGCTGTCACGGCTCGACAGTTCGCCAATTTCGGCACAACTGCCAGTCTTTCTCCGACTTTCACCCAAGATGCGTGCCCAAAGGCCAAATGCCCAGGAGCGCGAAAAACTGCGTCGCCAGCGTTCCGAAACGCGTCTCGTGGTGGCCCGCTGCAATGATCTAGGTGGACATCTCCCAGTTTCAGGTGACATTAATTTCTCTGAACTTCCTACTTGCAGGTTTCGAGTATGTGGTCAATCCGCCCGTGTGGCCGACGGTCGGTTTCCTAAAGAAAATCCACAGGGACTCGAGCGGAAATTTCTGTCGGCCTAGCTACACCACAAAGACTCCTCCGGTCGCCCCAAATGCCTATGACATAGACAGACCAATGGGATTTAAGGTGAGCCATAAATATATTTTTATTTCATTTTACAAAACGGGAATATTGCTATTTCTATTTTAATTCGGCGCGTATTTCTTGAATTTTCTTAGTAAATGTATTAATAAAAGCCAATAAATCATTTACAGTATCCGTCAAAGGCTGGATTTTCAGCCTTGGCCAACAAAATGCCACGCCTACCGCCCTTCCGAGAACTTGGGTATCCGCCCATAGGATCCTATGCCACCGACTTTCCAGGAACTCAGTACTACTTCACCTTTAACAAGCACGTTGTCCGCGAGCAGAAATGGGTGACACCTGGGTAAGAAGTCTAAAATTGTTTTAAAGTTGCAAAACTAATATCTAGCTTATTATTGAACTCAAACTAATGAAAAACAGTCGTTAGCCCAACTCAAAATTCTAAAGATTACAGCATTAATAGTAATTACTTTCGTAATTATTTTGCAGGCCCTCCACCTACACGCACCACCTCAAATATCCGGAATGGGATGTGGAGACGGCATTTGGCTGCAAGCGCATCATCTGGCCATCGGTGGCGGTATTCTGCAGTCCACAAAACAAAGTCAGGTGCTCGGTGTGCGGCGAGAAGCCGGTGGGCGACTACTTCCATAACTTTAGCAGCGATGCGGACATGTGCCGAGTGTGCATGCACGTCGAGATGGCGGCGATCAAGAAGTGCAGCCTGCAGGTGACCGAGCGGTACAGTCGCCAGCAGAAAATCAAACAGTTCGTGCCCGCCCGCTACTGCGGATTCTTCCACAATCACGACGGCACCACGGCCACCATTGAGCGGGAATCGCGCAAAGTCCTGCGCCAGAAGATTCGCGTGGAGAATTACCTCTATCGTCTGAATGCAAAGATAGAATAGTGCCTGAAGCAAATGAGTTCCTTTGGCCAGCCATACAGCCACAACTTACCTTAAAATATCTTCCCATTTTTTACTGTAATCAGAAAATGTTCTTAAAAGATATTTAACTTTGGTCCTAAAATAAAGTTAACATTTAAACAACAATTTTGTTCTTTACCATTACCGCAAACAAATTTGAATATGTATATAATAACCACCATTGGTTTCAACCAAATCCACCATTTATTTTAAAATATCGGTGGTTCAAGAAAAACGTTCGGAAAATGAAAGTTTTTCCCTTGGAATATTTATTCTTGTTAAAGGGACCTAATTTCGAGAACATTATTCTTTGTTTTTCCCTTGAGCGGAAGTTTGAATTGACTGTATTGTATGTTTTCATGCTGGAACATTTTAATCGTATTTCCGCCACTTCATTTCCTCTTCCTTCTGCGCATACCCGCTTCCGGTCGGGAAGGAGGATTTGAAAACCCGCACGCAGTTAGCCAAAGTCAGAAACAGAAACTGAAACTGAAACGGACTCAGTGGCAGAGACAGCCCGTCCTTGGCCACAATGCAACAATGGGTGCTGGACACTGGCCATTGGCCATTGGCAGCCTTTACGAACATTATGGCATAGGGCCGCCGTGGCCCTGTCAATGCAAAATGGGATTTCACAGTTTGTCTGTTTTGTTTTGCATTTGGCCAGCCAGCAGCAAACTGGCCAAACTGGCCAAGCCTCCAGCGATGAGTTGGTTTTGGCCTGGCCAACTTTTGGCCATTCCACACACGCGTGGAATTCCAAATGCGAGTCAGATTCCCTTACACCTGGCATGGGGTGGCAGAGAATGTTTCACAAGTGTACCACTCCCCCCATTCCCATAACACTTCCTGGCTGTTGGCTGAAGAGCCACATACCCAAATCTATTTAAAGTGCATCAGGATACTGACTATTGATGTTTTTTTCAAGGTAATACAAGGTGAGTGGATTTATGTAGTTGAAAGCATACATTATGTTAACCAAATTGCACATTAATTTAATCACATCTTTTGTTTTTGTTGTTGATTCAACAAAAAGCTATTGAACAAAATAAATCAGAGTAGTGTAAAAACTTTCAATAGTTAAAGTTCACACCTTGCTGAACTAACGAACTAAAAATGTTGAAAGCTTACAAATTGGTAGATTATGACTTTTAGTTAGTGATTTCAAAGTTAACGCACCATGTCTTTAAAAATTGTTTAATATGCAATTGCAACGATACGATTTGTGGTTACACCACCCACCCAAAAAATTCTTGAGGAAAAAAATGCAATGAGTTCATGGTGGGGTTATCAATATTTATTGGTAAAAGTTCAGACATATGACAAATTGATTCACACCTACTCATCGGTCTTTCCCAGAAGTTCGAACCACAAGGAATTTTGCACATTTAGAAAATATTTTCTGTTTTATGTGCGCTATTTATTTTAAAACCTCTGAACGTAGATCGATTGCCAAACAAAAAAGAACAGCCACTGTGATATAAATGGTGAGAATTTCAAACTACATCATCGGCAACCGTTCCCTTCTTTTTGAACAATTTTCAATTTTCAAATTGAGGTGACACAAATCCGTTCCCTGTATGACAAATCGCTGGACTTGACCGTGCAACCAAAAAGAACAGCCACTGTGATATAAAAGTTTTTGATAATATATCAGCAGCAGAAGTTCCCTGTGGTTAAAAACGGAATGGGTATTTGTCGGGAAAATGAAAACAAATATTGGCCGCTTTGATGTTTGGCACTTTAGGTACAAAAAGAACAGCCACTGTGATATAGGTATAGTTTAGTTACTTACAGCACAGCAACTATTCCCTCTACTTTAAAGGCTGAGATTCGGCACAGAACTGTTTTTGGATTGTATTTCCCATCGATGAGTTTTGGGCTCAGACATGCGCTATAAAGGAAAATCACTGTGATATGTTAAGGATCAACGCATATCACAACGATCGTTCCTTTTAGCGAATGGCCCGGAGTAAGCGGGGTTCACTCAACTTTTTGTATTGGCTTGTAAATGCTGCAAATGCCACAACGAACTTCAATGGTTGTCTAGCTTTATGATCAGAGAAATCACCTAAGGCTGGACGACCAAAGAAACTAATTGCAACCGTTGGGGATTGCCTCTTTCACTAAAAAACATCACTTGGCTTGTTGAACATTTTAAAATTATAGCACGAGTGTTCGGTCTAGTCACTACGCTTGGTCGAAACCATTTTAAAAAGCGACCATACCGACATTCGCCATTCAATTTTAAAAACTGGAGCACCGATTATCACTTACTTTTGTATTGGCTTTGTATGGTTGAAGCGATGATGTGGCCAGGATCTTGAGACACACTTTGCCCAGTGATGTGAGGTTAACATAACTGCACAAGATGCATCCCAAGATCGGGGCCTTTCGATAATTCACTGTTCGAGATGGTCGTCTTTTCGAGATTATAGGACAAACTTTACCCAGTGCTGCTAGGAAATTGGCAAAACCGAACAAGGTTTGTCGTATAATTGCTTTTCCTTCGAGTTGCTTGCTGCTTTGATCTATGTTTCACTGCTGGATCCTCACACTCTGAGGAGGCGTTGGTAACTGATGATCTGTCTGCCGGCGACTGGATGTTTTATACCCGATTCCTGGCCCCGTAATCGCCCACTTACCTGTGGGTGGCGGGCGTTGTTACCTGCAAGGGTCGGGGTGGTTCCGCGAATTCGCGTCCCGGATCGCGACGACCTTCGTGAAAATTTTGCAACTTAATCCGTGGCCATAAACGGATTAATGCTGCTCGGTTTCGGGGAAAAACGCGCAGCTGTGCCGCGCATAATTTTCGCAGAAGTGCAATTAGGTTAGGCCCAAAAGGACTTGGGTTCGAAGATCACCGTCGGGTTAGTTTGGTAGTTAGCGCGGATGGTGTTCCCCGTGTCGTCCCACGAATCGTAGGTATCACGCAGGATCAGTCAGGAAGTTTCCTTTTCCTTAAAATGTTTCTCTAGTGACTGTACCAGAGGGCTACTGTAATTGTAAACAGGATAACCTTGTGTTCTTGAAACAATCACCTGTATAAATTGTAGCTAACCAAATTATATGATGTTCTTTTTGAGGAGATTTTCACGTTTTTATTTTACATTGCTGAACATTGATAGAACACTATTACATTTTAGAATATCCCAGAGATAAAAACATATTTAGCTGTGTGAGCAACTTTATTTTAATAGTCAAGAAGTGCTCTAACAGTTTTAAGGATATTTTTGTAATGATATTTTAGCTTTAAACCAGTAACTTCTTTAGAAATACTAGTTTAATTAAATAACTTTTTAACAAACTGCTCACACAGAATTTGTCTCTTCAGTGTTTCTACGAACTAGCATTGATACTATGTATTTTTTAAATGTGGGACTTTTTCGAGGTAACAGCGAAAGAAGCACTTGACTTTATTTTATAATCTTTGAGTAACGATCTTTTTGAAAAAATTTATATTTGCGCACTCAATCACAATTTTTGAGTCTTCATTTAGTGTTGACGTCTGTAAATTAAAAAAATGAAGAAAGTCACTTTGTAAAGAAAATTGAACTTACTTGGGAAGATAGCCAAATTGCAATTTTAAACAGCCAACATTTTCATTTTGGTAGATCTTGATTCTAATGCCGTTTCCAAAAAAAACTGCAAGCTTTTTAATGATTTAATAGCTATCGCGAACTATTAAAGATTATTTAATCATATGCGCAGGGATATTTAAAGTATTACTTTCCCATATAATAATCATACAAAATTTTATTTTTTTTAAATTTCAGGCAAATTTAAATACAATACAAATAAAATTGAATTGGTGACTTAACAGTATTATTGTACATATTATAAAGATCAATTCAGGTCAAACTGTAAAATAGTCACTAGTAGTATTGTATTTAGAGTAGTTCATACCTACACTTTTCCATCGGATAAATTTATAATTTGGTATTTACCTAAAATTAACGATTAATAAAATTAATTTTTTTCCATGTTTTATTTTACTAATACCGAATATAATAAATGAGTCAGCTTTTTGTTTAATTTTAATATAATTCTCTTAATTTTACATATATTATTAAATTAAAAATCTGGATTATTTTTTGTCAGGTTACTTATCGTAATCAAAGTTTCATTGTTATTCAAGTCATTTGTACAGTTGAATCACACTTTAGATAAGCAAAGGGAAAAAACACAAGAGGAAGTTTATCCTGAAAAGGAAATATTAATTATCTGACGCAATACAATGCATAGCTATGGGGTCCTTGAAGGTGTCCTCTTAGCAACTACATCATTAATTGTGAGTGGCTTATGCAAATTAATACTTTATTACAAATCCTGGACCTTCCATTCTCTATAGGTTCTATGGGTTCAAGGATTCGTTGCCTTGCCAATGTCTCTGCCCATTCCGGAGTCACTTCCACTTACGATCGTAACGTCGGTGGATGATTCGGCAAACAGAGCACCGAGGCAGTCGAACTGGAATCGATCCGTGTTTGATATTTTCAGGGGGGAACGGAGCCTTGATACTCCAGTGCCACAAAAAGCTGACGGCTTTCGAGTTTTTGCCAAGAAGCTACAAGACGACTATCATCGAAAATCTGGCTACAACGCAACCACAGTGCCACCGATGGCAGTGACCAAAGGAACCACTGTTCACCGGATGAGAATCACTAAAAGCGGGATACGACTCTTTGCCGCTCCCCAAGATGTACCTGAAGAAGGAGCAACGGAAGCAGCTGGAGGAGATGAAGCTGAATCAGTAGCAGATGAAGCAACAACGGATGCAGCTGGTGGAGAAACTAAAGATGAAGCGACCAACGGCACGAAAAAAGAAACAGAGCTTGCCGTAAATATTCCAAAGTTTTATACCAACCAATATGGTGAAAATGTCTACGATCAATGGGGCGTAACCTTCGGTCAAGAGTTCTTTGACACTCGTTTCGGCCCGGCAAATCGTCAGAATCGGCGTATGACGATCGATCCGAATCCAGTAACGAACTACTACCCAAGCATGGAGAATTTGACCACAATCTGTTCGTATCCCACGACCGCATACGCACAAAACGAAAAGAAGGTCATGAAGTGGCTGTTCCGACACGTCTACAGCAAGAAGAAGAAAGTCCGCCCCATCTTTTTCGCCCTGCGTCGCGAACTATACGACAAGGCCAATTCCGAGGTGTGTCACACGGAGGCCTTCAGCGACTGGCTGCAGTACCAGCAGTGCGCCGTGCGCCGCAACATGCGCATGGAGTACTTCATACCCAAGTATCCAATGCAACAACTGGCCTTCAACTAAAATCATCAACGTTATCATCTTTTGGGCGCCCGTATCCTGTTTAAATTCTAGTTTTCTATACTCACCTTACCATACAAAGAGTTCAGGAGAAATCGAGAAAACTTGTGAAATACACAAGCAATGATTGTCTAATATATGATCTTTCATTTAAAATTTAAATTCGACTGATTTCATACTTATTTATGGTGAGTATCCTGAAAAAATTCTAGTTAAATACATTTGTGAATATAAATAAATATCACAGAGCGAAGTGTGAAGAGAAATGAATTTGTTGCAAATAAAAATAAATCACACAGAAAATCATTGAACCGTTCTCCAGGTTTTCATGAAAACTTTTTTTTTTTAATTCATTTGTTTTTGTTTAATAAAATATTTCTTTATATTATGCAAAGCAAATATCTTTAACTGTAGCGCGTGAAAAGACTTGTCATCCATTACAACAGCATTAGCATAAAAATTTCCAACAATAAATTTTATTCATTAGCCATACTAATTAAATTAAATTAAATACGGTTTTTGTTCCTGTTCCCAATCCCCAAATACATTTTTAAATAAAACATTGACACTTTGGGGTTTTTAGCTTTCGCTTTGTTTTTCTGGTTTATTTGGTAAAATTAAATCAATATCTTCATTTCATTTATACGTTTTTTGTTATTACCTTTTTTCAGATATCATTTCTTAGAAAAACGAACATATTTTGTTTCAAATTTTCAGCGTTGTACAACTAGAAGAAGAAGAAAACAAATATTGAAAACAAGAAGATGGAAAATTATAAAGAAATCTTCTTAGTATGTAAGTAGTTTCCGCAGCAGATCTTCTCCAGGATCTTGACTGTCCGCCGCTCTCACCCATCTTCCTCCTCATCCTTACACTCATCCTTCACTTTCCACTTTCCACTTTCCACTCTCCACACTTCTCTCTTCTACGCACTCCTCAAACCAGCTGTGGGGAAGTAAAAAAGATGTACAACAATATTATTAAGACAAATGTTAGAGAAATGCTTTCTCTGCCACTAAAAGGCCGCTCAAGTCATGGTGTTGTTCTTGTCTTAGCGCCGATTGTTGATGTCCGAATGCCAATTTTAATTTGACGATTAGGCAATTGTTGAAAGAATAATGTTTAACATAACTATGTAGAAGGTGTATGATAGAAACCTGCAAGAAATAGACAGCTTAATTAAGATGAATCAATGATCACCGTGTTAGCAGTCAACTCACCGTTTTGTATAAAATATTATGGGCTTCATGTTTGCTTGGGCATCAATGCCGAAAAAATCAATGGGGGAGAATAACTATGATAACTAATCCTTAAATGGTATGTTTAATAGCTTTTTACACTGCAAAGACATTTAAAATGGTTGAACGGGTTAGTGAGATATACATTTTATCGTAGGCAATAATATATTGAACAACATAATAATAAAATAAAAAAAACAATTTAACAGTTAAAAAAAAGTAAAAGATTGCGGTGTTAAAAGAACTACAGTAGTTAAATGATTTGAAAAATATTTAAAAACCAGAATTTTGTTAAACTGTTTTCTTTTCGATAAGAACTTCTCCAAAGTTTTTATTTAATTTTCGATTGGCCAATTAGTGTTTTTTTTTATCAGACAAGAAACAAACATAGTTCATCATTTTTAGATCGCTACTGGAATACGCAAATAATTTAACTATTATCTTTACTCAAAATATTTCAGTGTCATTCTATGACTTTAAGGCCTCCAAACTCGAATTTTGACGTGCCAGATAGTAGTTCGAGCTATGGGAGATCGAATATTTATAGTTTTTACCATCTCCTCATAAAAACGCAATGAACCCAACAAAAAACAAAGTGCCTGTTTATACTGTTAAAAGTATATTTACTTGATTTCTATTATGCCCCGGATTTTAAGGTATTTACATATAAATTTCTCCAAAATCTTAAGAGGCATTTTGTAAAAAGATCTTGCTAATAACATTCCTAATTATTTATTTTGAAAAATCAAAATACTTGTCTTAACTTGAGATGTTTTCAATTTCCCCCAAGTCATATAAGACATTTTTTAAAGAAAACTTTATAATCTAAGTTTATAATTTTTTGGGCCAAAACAAATAATAATAATAAACAAGATCAAAAGAATAAATGTTTCAATTTTATTTATTTTAATAATGTCTTTTTTGATATTGTACCATCCTTCTAAAGAAGACTTGATCTCTTTTTCTTTCGGGCATTTTGCCCAAACACTGTAAATAATTTAGAAAATAAAAATACCAAAAATATTGTTTTGTGTTTTTTTTTTCTTTTTTAAAAAGTTTATTTTCATTATCATTTATTGAGCTTAGTCTCGGGCTATGTAAATTGGATTTTTAAAAATTAAATGTAGGTTTTTGTTAGATTTTTTCCACAATGGCGGAAATACTGGTTATAGAATACGTAATAGTAAGTAGAAAGGCAACTTAAGAGTACAGAAACAGTCTCGTGTCAAAGAAAGTTGCAAAAAATGGATGAGAGTACAAGAACGAGGAAAAACATTTAGGCAACTTACAAGAAATTGTCGGTGCCGGTGGCGCGGCGTTCGCAGCTACAGGAACCGATGTTGCTGGTGTCGTCGATGTTGCTGCTACTCTGACCGCTTTTTGTTGCTGTTGTGGTTGGTTGTTAGTTGTCAAATGTTGGTTGTTGTCCTCTTCATCATCATCAATGTAGTACGTTTTGTTATAGTGGCCAATGCCGCCACCGCCGCCGCCGCCGTTGTTGTTGCTGTGGTGGTAGTTGCTATGAGCAATGTTGCTGCTGCTGTTGATCGTGGTAGTTGATGTCGCCGTCTGTTGCTTGCGCTTGTGTCCGGTTATGCTTAGAGCAGCCGTTAGACTGGAAGCGGCATGCAGGATCGAGCGCTGGTTGAAAATGCTGTTGGAGGCGGCCGCCGCAGCCGCATTGTTGTTCTTCCGGAACTTCTGATGATGATGATGATGAGCTGGTGGCTGTGGCGGCGGGGGCGGCGGCTGCTGATGCGGCGGATGCGGATGTAGCGTTGGCGGTTGTCACGAACATGCCACCTCCGTTGTGGTTGTGTTGCTGTTGGCGCTGCCATTGTTGCTGCCGTTGTTGTGCGGCTGTGGCGGCTCCTGCTCCACGTCCATCTCGGAGCCGTTTTTGCCCGAGCTCTTAAAGCTGGGCGCACTCATTTGCGCCGCTGTGGGCGTGGTGGGCGTTCCTGCCGCCATATCGCTGGAGGCATTCGAATTTTCCTCTGTCAGCTAAACAAACAAAAAATGATCATGTTGTCAGAACATTCTTAAGGGAATAGCTATAGCAACTTACCGATTCGCTGAGTCTGTGTATCTTTGCTCCACTATCCCGACCGCGATTTCCACTTGATGGCTGCTGACCCGGCGGCAGTGGGTCCTGCGATTGGGCCAGTTCCGTCGAGAGTCGCTTGCGGTTGGCCAGCAGTGTGTTATTAAAATTATTGTGGCTCTCCATGGACTTACGCTCTCGCTTGAGGAAATCGGAATCTAAGTAGAGCGATAATTGCTTGCGCTTTACATGACGGGCATCAATCGTCATGCCCTCTTTGAGCATTTTGATGTTTACCTGCAATGTTGATAAAAAGATTAACAACTGGATATAATTTTGTAGGTTTACTTAATGTACTCACGCCATGCATCATCACGTGCTCCGTAAAGTTCTGTATGCTCTCTGTGAGGTCCACATTGAGGTTCTCCGAACGCTCAAACTCCAAGCCGATGAACCACATGGAGCAGAATGGCGCCGAAGTAACTGCAGACTGGCTTCCCTGCGATTGCTTCAAATCGTCCTCATTTCCACTGTTGTTCTGCGAGTTGTTGGCACTCTGGCCCTTCTTAAACTCAAAACACTTGGGATTGACGTGGGCCAAAGCAATGTGGGGATTCCGCTCCAAGTTGCCAATTAGCAGACGCACCTTGGACTCAACCAGGCCGCACCATTCCAAATGGTCGTCGGCCGTCTGCGAATTGACCAATAGCACGATAAAGTGGCGGTATCTGTAGAAGAAGCTGGGTGCCTCAAACAAACGCTCCCACGGAATGCGGCCCAGCATGATCTCATCCGTGATGTTCATGCCGCGATTGAACTCGGTCAATATGACCTTCTTGGTGGATTCCGACACATTGAATGTGGAATTTTGTTGGGGGTACGCAGGCGTAATGATGGGCATCAGATGATACCGATCCGAGGCGTTGACTCGCGGATCCCAGACCTAGAAAAGGGATCAAATGTTAGTTTATCTACAAAGCTTGTGTAATTTCATCCGACTTACTTGAAATCTCAGATTGACGTTGTCGGGGTGCTTGAGCAGCACTGGGTTGGGCCACTTCCAGCGCGAGAATACCAAGAAAAACTTGTGCACCAATGTGGCAGCTGCAGCATTCGGATACAGCTGGCACGTCCTGGCCACCAGCATGGCCCAGGTCACACCGCCGAAATAACCCAACGAATTTGAGTATATGCCGTGTTCTAAGTGGGCAAATCAAACATATTAGTTATATAAGATAATTATTTGAAGAATCGTGTAAAACTTACTCTTTGCCCATAATTTGATGGTGCGCAGGGCCAGTCGGAAATTTTCAATGTTGGGCACCAGAGCCAGGATTTCGTCAGTTACACGGCAGCCGTTGAGGCTGCGCACCGAGCGATGATCCAGGTTTCTCAGAAGGTTATCATCCCGTAAATCAAAATCATCGGGTATCTCTTTAAGGGACAGACGAGCAAACAGCAGATCTATCTCGATGCCATCAAAGTTCATTTTGATGACTGGTACGAAGGCCTCCTCCACAGAGCGGCACTCGGTGACCTCCGGCTGCTTCTTAAGCACCTCGAAGAAGCTCTGAAAGTAGTCGGTGCGCTCGATGTTGCGCGGAGCCACACATAGGGCGTCAATATCGGCGCCCTTGTGATGGACACCCAGGCGGTACGAGCCGAATGTGTAGATCTTGCCGCCGAGCTTCTCAGCAGCTGACTCCGGCATATTCTTACTGACAGAGATCTCCTTAACCCACTGTTTGACCAGAGTGTTGAGCTTGGCCAGGATCTCCATGCGGTGGTTCAGCTCGTCCTGGCTCTCGAAGACGTTGTACGGCTCCAGAGAGCCGCGCAGCTCATCAGTGCGCTGCAGATCCTCAGCCCTGGGCTCGGCCAGACTGATGGCCGAGGTCATGCCCAGCTGCTTGGCGGGCGGTCCGCCCGAGGTAGAGTTGCCATTGTGCTGATGCTGATGGTGGTGCTGCTGGCGATGTGTTGGTTCGGAATTCCACATGCTGTCTGCCTTCGTTTGAACTTAAAGTAGGGTCCTGAAAACGCAAATTTAGAGTGGTGTTAGCTGACATGATCATTGAGATCATTGTAGTTCATTTACTCACCTATCTAGGCTTAAAACGTATGTTGCAATTATACTTAAGTTTGCTCTCCAAGAAGACAAAATGGAATATGCGGTCTTGTGGTTCAGTTTACGATGCAGCGCTTAATAAAATGCTGTAAAGATACAACATATAGATCATTTTTATTGTATTCTTAAATTTATATAAAAATTGATTGTACTAATTATACAAAAAGTGCCTAATCTTTATGACAGTTTTGTGCTTTTACAAAAACAAAAAAAGGGAAATTACCAACCATGTTATGATTATAAAAAAAATATATATGAACACATTATTAAGAACGCAAAATATATATCTCTCATGACAAAGCGGATTATAAAAGTTAATCACTCAATATTTGAACTAAAGATTTTTATGGTGCGTCATTTCGATTTGTGGAAAACACTTTCATCACATTCTAACCGCCAACGATGTTACTTTAAATCTAGAATTACCTTATTTTTTTTACTGTGTAGCTAAACAGTTAGTGGACAATTGCAATTTACTTTCGGGCTGACTAAATGCAATTTGTAAGTGAGATAAGATATTTCAGCCACTGCCGTTATATACGAAAAACATAACAATGAATCTCGCGTCCCATATGGTCACACTGGTACCCTTAGCCTTTGGGCATAAACAAATGCGTAAAACAATTAACAAAAAATTCGCGGTTGAACTGCGGGAGGAGTATATTCGCTTGGCGTGTGCACTTTAGCAGAATAATTGTGACAATGACAAACATAAACAAAAGAAAGCGTATTTAAACGGAATATTTGCCAACCCCCGCTGCCGCAGGTAAACGGTACTCTCATACACCCACACAGACGTGAACGACGCACGCACCGCATACATACACGCACGGGGAAAAGTTTTTGTTTTTGCTTACCTGCGTTGCTTCTTCTGATTCTTGGCCTGCTCTTGTTGTTGTAGCTGCTTCAAACAAACGCTGAGGGTGTGTGTTCGAGTGTGACGTGTGTGTGTGTCGTGTCCGTCCGCTGCATTCGTGAGTGCATATGTATGTATGTTTATTAGAACTTTTGGCAGGAGAGTGTATCCCATTCATGTGTTCTTGTTGCTCCGGCTTCTTTATTCGCTCGTCTCCTTTTGCGACACTCTTCACATTTCTTCTTTCCCGCTCCCGTTCACCCCCTCCCACTCTGTTCAATCGCCTTTTGAGCAAAGCAAAACTCGCGTTTTTATGCTACGTGACGAGCTCTGCTAAAACTGACGCACACGCACACCGATATGCATATGCCAGTTGCCAAAACGCAAACACAAACACTTTTCGCCCACTTTTGGGGCGTTGGAGGCGACGGGGGGACACTGATAACGCTGCGGGATCGACGCGCGGGGCGGTTAGTGGGCGGCAAACATGTTTCACTATCTTTTTAGCAACTGATTTGCGCGTTCTAGCAATAATTAAAATGTGTAGCAATCGATTGAATGCTTACGGTAATCGGTATCGATGCTCTTGGCGCATAGGGATGGCCGAGTTTCGGTACCAAGAGAGGACAGCGGGTTCGCGATAGATTACTTACGCGCGCCTATTGTGAACGGTCAACAATCTAATAATAAATTGCGATTTAAAAGCACTTGGTTTTATTAATTTATTTTATTTGTAACATGTTCGGCTCATTATTAAAAATTTATGCTAGTCGGGGCTAAAATTTTGTGTTAAAGTTATTCGAAACCAATTAATTACTATGTGTTCCTTCATTTAATTATTTATTTAACTGATTTTTGTATTACCATTAACTACGTTTTTTAAGCCATACTTATTACCTAAAATCAGTTGAATTCCCAATACAGTTGTCTCAGGCCCAAATCTGACCATCTGCTTATTAAAGATTTTGACAGATGGCATAGTTCTGCACCTTTGGTTTGGGTAAAATCCCTTCAAAAGTTTTGTACCTGATTTAAATATCCCTTTCAAACGGGATTCAAGTAAGTGAGTAGGGTTTCTCATTTAAGGCAACATCAGGTAAATAACTCAACAGTTCAAGCTAATTAGAATAATATTAAACAGCCATAAAACAGCTATATATATCAAGAAGTAACTGGATAAAAGTTTAATGGCAAAATGTTAAAAATTAAATCAAATCAGATACATTGAAATGTTGTCGTGTCCTCATATTTGTTATTTTATGAGCGACATAATTATCGCCCAATTGAATTAAACATTTATAATTTAATTTGAATTGTTCCTTTAAAATTCCTACAATTTAGAATACCACAAATTAGAAAATACCAATATATAGATTCATCATCCCTGAATTCCGCCCATCTGGCAACTCCACAAACAGCTGTTTGCTATCGAAGTTACAGAAATAAAAATCGGTTTTTGGCATTTTCGCATCGATTCTGTTTGTTTACGAGGAAAATGCAGAATAGCCATCGAAAAGCGCCGCAAAATGTAACGCATCCGGCGAGAACCTAGCTGTTGACCCAATATGATTCCCTGGATGCGCGAGAAGTTCAACGAGAAACGAGCCAAGTGGCTGGCGCGCAGCAAGCGGAGCGGTGCCTCTCCAGCGGATGAGAGTCCCCGGAGCAGTAGCCACAGCCACAGTCACAGCCAGCGGACGGATGCCAGCGATGCGGAGAGCCTCAGCGGATCCTCGTTGAATGTCCACACGGCGGAGTCGGAGACGCAAACGGATGGCGGGATAACCGGCCCCCATTCCCGGCCTCTCGTGGGAGGAGGAAGCTGTGTCCTGAGGACTCCATCGCCCGCTCGCCGGCGACGAATGCACCTAGAGCTGCAGCTGCAACGGCGAGAGGAGCGGACAGAACAGCAGGCGGAGCCCCAGGACTCGCCCACGCCCACTCAACAGCAGCAGGCCAATGCGTAAGTTGACAAAATAACGAAAATGCTCAAGTTTATCCGAGTGCTTACCCCAAATATATATTTGTCTATTCGAAATTCTCCGTTGGATTCGCTCGCACAACCGACCTAAATCAAACTATGCAAAAACTGCGCAGTTTGTTCCTCAGGTTTGTACAGCCCAACAAGCTTCCGTGTGAACCCTTTTTTTTACCTCTTTCATTGGAAACCTTTTTAGAAAATCAGGCCATTCTAACCGACCAAACAACACCACTTCGTCTGGCGAGGCAGAGGATGCCACCAAGCCAGGCGAGTCCATTATGGTGCGGGTCATCTGCCCCAGTTCCCGCGTCCTGGTCTTTAAAACGGACGTCAACAAGCGCCTCAACGAGCTGAAGAGCGAGGTGATCCTGGAGCTAAGCGACGATCCCGAATCCATCCAGCTGTTTGCCCCTGACGTGCGGCATTTGAACCCGCGTTACCGTCTCTACCGAGCGGAATACTTTGGCGGCGAGCTGAACGAGACGGACACGCTGGCCCAGCTGAAGGTGCGCAACAATGAGACTTTTATACTCTCTCCACGTCGCAACACTCTGCCGCAGACCGTATCTCGGATTCGCGAGGTGCCCGGTCCCAATGAGCAACTGGTGGAGAGCGCCACGCGATACTTACCCATGAACTGCAGCCAGCTGCCCACCATCGACATCAATGAGATTTTCCAGCAGTCGAACGTGAGCGCAATTTTCCATACCCTTATGGTTTTATTTACCCAGCTATGTTTTTAGATACAATACGATGTGCGCAAGGTGCTGATATCGCTGGCTCAGGCTTCGGCAGCGGTTATAGGAGCTGGTCCCTATGCTCCGCGTCTGATAGCCATGTTGAAGCAGCGTTTGATTAACCGCCGTAATCAGCAGGCGGATACGCTGCAGTGCCTCGTGGACATGGGCTTCAAACGGGAGTTGGCCGCGTTTGCCTTGAAGGCCAACAACGGCATTTACTCAACGACGATGGAATGGCTGATACAGAATCAAAACGAGGAAAACCCGCAGGAACCGCCGGCCATGAACATGCAGCACAGCCTTTCTTCCATCTCGCCATCCACGATTGTCACAAATAATGTAAGTAAAAAGTTACCAACGTATATATATATATATATATTGGAACTTAACCTTTATTGCGTTAAAGGAAACTATTGAAAACACCGCCGCCTTGATTGAGATTGTACGAATCTACAGTCACCGGGACTCGCCGCCCAGCGATGAGATTGTGGAGTCGCTCACCGAAATGGGATTCGAGGAGACGGCCGTGCTGGCGGCGCTGAAAAAGACGGGCAACAACAAGGCCTCTGCCTGCGAATGGCTGTGCGACAATCGCTCGGGCAGTGTTATTGAGCTGCGCGAAGGATTGGCACCCGACTCGCCCATCCTGAAGGTGATTCTGGAAATGCCACAGGTCCAGATGACTCTCAGCAATCCCAAGACCTTTTTGGGTAAGTCAACCTCATCAAAAACACTTTAAATCAATGTTAAAAATGTTTATTTTTCACAGCCTTTCTGGGCATACTGGAGAACGAGCATGCGATACGCGTGTGGCGTGGCGATAACGACACAACCTCGGTCATCACACATATCCTGCAAAAGTACCATGAGGAGAAGCATGTGCTGGGCATCAACCAGTTCTACACGAACCGCTGGTGAACGGTGCCGCTAAGTGGCTTAATTATGAGATTAACCAAATTATATTTATACATATACATACACAATCACTCACCCGAAGTGCATGGCTGCAGCTTGGTCCATTTTGGGACCCCCATTATACATTGTGTATGTGCCCGTATGTAAAGAGTATTTTTGTAGCCAAAAACCATGAATGTAAACCGCACAAAGCCAAAGATGCAATCGCTTCGCAAAGAGCACGCGACTGCACTCTACAAACGCTTACCGATCAGTACGAAATGCATTATATACATACGTCTATATAAATATTATTAGGAACTAGTTCTAGTCAGGCCTACATCCTACGATTCTATTAGGCTAAACACTTACTCTATTCATCTAGTTTGCTAGCTCATCTCGGCCATTTGAAATCGCACTACAGTTAGCAAATGTCTCATACTTCATCCCACAGATACATCTCGTCAGTTGTAAGCGAGCGTACTTGCGGTGATTTCAGAGCGTTGTAATGTCAGGTTGTTAAACGTGTCGCCTGCGAAACCATCAACTTGAACTCAAAGTATTATTTTGTAAACCAATTATTCAATTTGCATTGTTTTAACAAGAGGCAAATAAATCAATTAGTTTTTGATACAAAACAGATAAAAAAATTCAGTTTTTATTTAAGGTGTTAGACTTTATTGTACCCATTAATCGTAGAGTAAAAGGGTATGTTGTTTTCGTTAAAAAGTGTTGTTATATGCTACACGTTTTTTGAGTTTATTGTACTGTCACCCAATTTCCGTTGTCTTTAAGCCAGCGGGTATTTCCCGAGCTGGGGTTCCATCATTTGGACTAAATAACTAAGGTAAGTTAACTATGCATGACTCAAGTCCCTACAAATTTACCACTGCGTATGAGTAATATTTGCAGATACTTTAAGGCGAAATGAGTCACTCGTGAAGATAAGTCGATGGCTATTATTTTGCAATCCAGAGCATATGTAAAGTTAAACAGTAATGGGAAACATTACTCTCGGTCGTAATTTGAACAAATTGAATTGCTTTGTTGGCAGCGCAGCTTGGATCTCCGCAGTAGAATTATTTGCTATTGCAATTTTATGTATTACAATTCATTTTCTATGCGGCCGCACATTTTTCATTTCATTATTCCAGCTGAAAATTCACATAAAACAAAAACAGCAGCACAAAACTTTTCTATTCAATTGTTGCACATCCTTTTTTCCGACATATTTACCATTTTTTTCTTGTAGGTCCGTAGGGTGAAAATGAGCAGAAACATTTTAATTTATGTTAAGCGCGTTTATTAAGTGGTTGTTGCAGTGGTTGTGTATCCATGATATACATTTACTAGCTGGTGGCTTTTAATTAATATTTGCGCGCAATATCTGAATTGTTTAGGAAATAGATGCGGGCAAAGAGCAAATTATTTATGGTCAGCTCGTGTTTTTATTAAATGTTTGCGGTTGCATGTTGCATCTGCAACAAAAGCAGAGCGGAACGGAAGCGTACAAAGTATCTGCAAGCTTCGCCTAATGGCCCTTGGCGATGGCCATGCAAATCTATCTCTAAAAATTGATGACGCATGCAGCGGGCGAGGTTGGAAATAGACCATAATAAATCATCTGGACCCTTGCTAAGCGCTCCAGGCTAATGCACTTAGAAAAATATACTATAATATTGGTAGTATTTTTGGTAGTTTTTTCTCCAAAGAAGACCAAACATCCTTATTCCCAGTATTTTATCTTTCGGCATTTAAAACCTTTGCTTGAATTTTCCCTCAGGTTCAGTACAAAACCAAAATTTTAAATTTTAAATTTGGGTTTTGCTATGATAAGTAGGCTAAACGATTTATAAAAATGCTAGCAAACGTTTAAATTTAACTTATTTAAAGACGCCATTTTTATTTGACTGCACAAAGGTATAAGAATATTGATTAAATCGTATTACTATATTTTTTTCTGAGTGCAAAACTGAGGAAAGTGGAGTGATTGCTCCTGAAAGTGGCCAAGGCAAATGAGTTTTTGATATTATCAAAAGACGAAATGCATTGACAAGGACGACGGGCGATGAACATCTCCCAACTAATCCTCCACCGCAGCTAAAGTCCCCCGCCATGAGTTGCCTATAAAAAAAACATCTGAACTTCAGCTGGAGTTTCGAGAGGGTAGATGTTGATGGTATTATATAAGCGTCGTGTGGCTTTCGCAATTTCCGTTGCATATTTGCAGGCGCCGCAAATTTATGAACAGCTTTATATATCGACGACATCACACCCCCGCGAAAAAGCGAAACAATGCTGGAATCTGATTGGAACTGTGAATAGGAAGGACCTCCTGCCAAAATTCGCAATTTGTATGAAAATGAAAATGTTTTGTCATTTCGCATTCAATGATTTAAAATTCCTGTCGCATGCGTTTTTGGCGAGCTTTCCATGTTTATATTTGCCATTAAAGGCAGCAAGCCGAATAACTTCATCGAATGGCCCTTTAAAAAAATTGCATTTAATATGCATTAATGGCACCAGCACCAAAGCAGCGGCATTATCCTCATCAGCATCCCAAATCGAATGTGTATAATAAAATATTTAGATTGGAAAAGACATAAGACGTGCCATTGTAACTTAGCCGTAGGGCGACATATAAATGCAGGAAATAAATGAGGACGTCATAGCCGCAATACCAATTTTGGATCATCTAACCAGGTACCATAAAATAAAATTCATCTCAAGGACAGAAAATTATGCTTACAATTTGTATTTTTAAAGATAGAAAATATATATATAAAATATATATATAAATATAAATAATAAATAAATAAATATATTTTATATTTTTATATTTTTTTATATATTTTCTATAGAGTATATAAAAGTATCTAACAAAATATTTATTCTTTGAATTAAATGGTAAATTTAATCCTGAATAAATACAAAACTCAATCTTTTTAATTATTCAGTCCCATTTGAGAAGAAGTCAGATAATGGTTGTTAACAGAGAGACCCTTAGTATTCAACCGACATGGGTTTACCCCTCTGAGCCAAAACCTCCTTCATCACGAAATCCTCAGCCCAATTAACCATTTAAAAGCGAATCGAACTCCTTCATTAGCAAACATTGCCCAATTTCTACCCTCGTCGCAAATATTTCATTTATATGCCATAAATACTTGTATGAAACTTTCAACGCGACATGAAAATTAAACGAAATGGCCTCCCATCCCCCACAAATACGATTTCCTATATCCTGAAATTGTTTGTCTTTACGGGTAGCAAATAAAAATTCTGCTTTAACGCATGAAATCACACAAAGATACTAAAAATTTGAACATGCAAGTTTATGTTGGCCAAACGGCATGGCGTCTGCGGCAAGGATAAAATGTCCTCTAAATGGGCGGAAGTGGGTGGTGCGTGGGCAGTGGTTGCGGGTCGCACAGACAGCACACACATGCATACCAAACAGCAACAATAGTAAACAAAGCGCCACAGTTTATGACGCAGTAGGCCAACGTCCCCCAGCCTCATAAATATAAAAATTAGTTGCCGGTCAGTTAGCAAGTGGGCGGTGGGCGGTGGGCGGGGTCGCATCGGTCCGTTTCGCTTCGGTTTCGACTGGAAGGCCACGCTGGCCGCCCACAATTAATTAATTAGTTCAGTTGACAAAAATTGCGGTGTTGCCCGATGGGCGGAGGTCGAAGGGCAGTGAGCTGGGTTGGGGCGTGGCAGGGTCCTGTGGCTAGCCCGGCATGTGCCTGTGATTGGACTGGCTTACCCAGGAGCTGTTTCACGAGAGTATGTGTTGGCGAGTGGCTAAATGGCTGGCAGTCTAATTATGTTCATGCGTAACTGGAACTATCAAAAGAAATAACTTTTGGGCTGCTAAATATGGAATATGTAATTTAAAAGCTTACACTGCAGAGATTTATAGATTAGCAACAAACTGTGTGCTTTGCACAAATATTTTATAATTTATTTATTTATTTATTTAATAAGGTTGGAATTTATCATCCTGCCACTAAAAGAATGTATATAGACTTTGAGTAAAAACCTTAAGTTTAAAAGTGCCCTTGTTTTTTTTAACATAAATAATGTCAACAAATTTTAGTTTGGTACTTACAACATTTTTATCCATGAACAAATTAAAAAACACCTATCTGTATTCGTTTACTATAGTTTAAATATTGTTCTGTATATGTCAGTCAAGGTTTTTTAAGGGAAAATACTTGAATGTAACTCAACTATATTTTAATTGGTTTTATAAAAAATTAACTTACATAAAAGTAACACACATACAAAAAACAAACATCAAAATCTAATTTGAAATCACTAAAAGTGATGCTTTTGCAAATTACCAAAAATATCTTAGCCTAGAATTGTTTACCAATTCTATCCGCATAAACCTACAGCTCATGGTCATGTGAGTGTGTGGCCATATTTTTGCACATGTGTGAGTGTAACTGTTTTGGGCCACTCGTCCTTTGTGGGTGTCATTTCAGTTTCAAGGGTCGTGGGGCAGCCGGCGGTCAACTGTTTTCATAAGCGTAGCAAATATTTTCACAAGGCCAATTAGTGGGCAGCCCCCAGTTGACCGCATCTGCTGAGAGTTTTCCCGCCCCTTGAGCCCCTTGAGCCACCACTAGACTCTGCCCTTGCATCCTTTTACTCTGCTCCATCCTAAGTCCTTTCGTCCTTTCTTCCTTCTTCCGTTTCCGCTCAGCACAGTTATAAAATTAATAAAAAGCACCCAAACTTTCCTGCTAGTTTCTGGTTTTTTTTTTGCTAACCTAAACCTAAACAGCTGATCACATTCTGGTTTTTGTCAACGGCTTTTCCGTGTGACGCAACATACTTGCGAACAAAAGTGAAAAAGTGAAAAAGGCAAAAGCAATAAAGTTTTCAATTGTTTCTTTCGCACTCCATGCAATAGTTTTCTCCGGCTTCTTCCTCTTATTTTAGTTTTTACAGAAAGTTTTTTTAACTGGCGCTGACTTTAAGTGCAATTCAGTGCCGAGGACAAGGAAAAAAAAAACCTCAAATGAAAAAAATGAATGCTATAAAGTTTTTCCCACTTGCCGCTGACTTTTCCACTGTTCTATTCTGTTTTGCGGCTGCCACATTCGTTTTGTTCTCGCCAGTTTAAAAACGCATTGCCAAATGTGTCACACAGAAGTTATTGTTCGTGTTGTGCTTTTCCCCCTGGTCCTTTACCGTTATTTCGCCTGACAAAATGCAAGTGCCGTTATTTCAGAGGTAGAGAGAGAGAGTGTTGCGGTTGCTTTGTCTCCTGCAATGCACATTTTGCACTTGACACGAACGAGAAGGAATGGGATGGATGGCAGCCACGAGTCGAACGGTACTTAGCGGGTCAGTGCCCACCTCTTCCTCCCACTCCCACTCCCAGTCCCACACCCACACCCTATCACTCTCGCATTCATTTTTCCCAGGTGATGCCGCACAAAGGACTCAAAAACAAACTGTTAAAAATGCAACTAGGTTGAGTGTCTTAATGCGTGGCTAAACGTCGGCATTCAGGCCCTTTCCATTTCACAAAGTATTCATTTTAGATGAAATGTTTTTCGGGTGGCAAAAGATGTGAAAGGTGCGCCCTCTGATCTTTCGTTTACCCTTCAGTAGTATGGCTTATTTGTTCACTATACAATGAAAAAGGTTCTTCAATCATAGAGCCACATCCTTTTGTTCTAATAAATGTGTAACATATATACGGGAAAGAGAGAAAATAAATTTTAATTGAGGTCTAACGTTAAACCTAAATGCAATAGACTAGCACAACATTTTGCGAAATTATTGTAACTTGAATTTTTAATTAAAAATTGTTATCGTTAAATAAAGTTAGAATTATGCCTTGTGCAACAGAATGTTTATCATTGTGCTTATATCTGAAATAGTTTGCGTTTTTGAATTTAGTTTCAAGTTAGAAGGAAATGTATATTGTTGGAAAAAACTAATAAAATCTTAAATATATATCTATATAGATTAAACATAAACCTCTATTTTATGCTTACGTGAATTTTTCTTTATATCAACTCTACTTACTTTAATTAGTATTTAAAAAATAATAATTAGGACCAGTATGTGTTAATTCCTGTCCAACACAGAGTGTAAGTAACAAGCTAAATCCGTCCATCACCTTCAGATGCTTTTCAAAAGAGAGCTTAATAGAAATCGTTTCCCCAATTTTTTGGCTTTTTAAGCCGATCTGACGTTAACAAGCTGGACTCACACCGGGCCATCGATACGGGGTCCCGTGACGGATTAATTTTTAATGAGCCAGTTAGTTAGAAATTAATGAGGCAGAGCGCAACAAACCGCCCACCGGGCGCCCAACCCTCCTTCCCCGCCCCCCGGAAGCGGTCCCACGTGCCTTTCCGATAAATCATCATTGCCAAAAGCCAACGGCAACAAACACAATGAAATACAATTGCAATTTCCCGTGTCCAGCGCCTTCCTTTCTGGCCTTCTTGCCCTAAATCCTGACAAATGAGCGAAATTTCATAGCTCAAAGGATATTAACGTGTATTAGCACGAGACGAAGGCGAATGCATTAAGTCAACTAACTGTGGTAAATAGAGGGGAATCAACTGGACGACGATCCTTCGAGGGCACGTTGCACGCAGCATCAAATTTGCTGCTTCATTTATAAGGATTACTGCCCCGAAACAGTAAAAACTCATAACAAAATTACTTGCAAGAAATGCAACAAGCTCAACTATAAGCTATACTATATACTACCACCCCCTTTCTGAGGGTAGGAAACGCGCACTGTGGGTGAATGTAATTCTGGGTGGGTGACTGGACAACTGGATGGGTTTGTCCTCATTGCCTGGCAAACAAAAAATATGCATTAGTTTGCCAGTTGTACTCCATGATTACAAGTTTTTATGCAGCACTTCTCGAGGGTTGACTTTAAGAGGCTTTGAAAAGTCGGCAAAATCTATATTATAGCGGTTGGTGGTAATCAATCAAAATATATATGTGAAAAGCTGTAAGTGATAGACTTTTCAGGCTTATAAATGAGCTTTATTAATAAGGAATTAATCAACATATTACTCTAAAAAGATTTCTTAATTGTGTCTTAAGAAGTTAAAAAGTTGTTGTAGGGTCTCATAAATCATAGCCTTTCTTTTTGGTAGATATATTTACCTTTAAACTTGTTTTTACTATCTTAACATTGAAGTTTATATAGAGTTCAAATCTGACAGATGACTAAGCCATTTCCCCTGGGAAACATTTCCAAAAAGTCATCTTTGCCGACACCAAATTACTTTTAGTAGCTGCAGCTATTTTTTGAACCATTTAACAATATAAGAGGTGAATGTGAGCCGTAACTCCATTCGGCATACTGAAAGTAGCTGCTTGTCAGGTGTTGTTCGCTTTTCCCATTTGTGGTAGCGCCATTAAAGTCAGCCAGGATGTCAGAACACGACGATGACGCTCCCAAGTTATTATAATTAAAGTCGAGTCTCAAACGACTGAAGGAGTTTCGCTTTCTTCGCTTTCTTCGCTTCGCCTTTATTGTTTCCTTTCATGGAGTTTTGTGAGATGTTATTTGAAAATTCGTCGCTGTTTGTGTGCTGTTTGTTGTTTGCTGTTTGCCATCGTCGTTTGTTGTTTACTGGCGCAAGACAGCCACAAGAACAACAGAGTGTTGGGGCCAGAACAACTCAACAGCTTGGCTTACAACGGAAACGGCAACAAGCAACATCAGCAGCAACTGCGTGCTATATGCCTTTTTAACTTGATTTAATGAGTGCAGGGAACGACATCAACAAGAAAAATGAAATAACTGTCATTGAGGACATGAGAAAGGAAGCCCAGATGGGGGATAGACAATGTTTCTCCGTTTCTCAGCCGAGTTCTGATGAGCTGAGCTGTTGGAGTGCGAGGCTGCGCTACTTAACTGGCAAGCCAGCGAAGGGTCTGTCCTTTCTGTGTCCCAAGTCCTGTCTCCCCAGTCCTGGGTGTGGCAGGGCGCAATTATGCAGCAAATTAACGCTTTATATTTATTAAAAGGAAACCCAAGAAAATGGGCCTGGGCGTGGCCCTCTGAAGAGAGGGATGAATGTGTCCATACGTTGACTGTGAATTTCCTTTGACAGTTGGCCAAAAAAAAAAAACACGGTGGTAAACAGGAAAGTTACCCCACTTGCTAAAAGCCTATCTATCAGTCTCCTTGTTGACGATAGAGGAAATTAAAATCTATGGTTATTGATATTTATGGCGGAGTTTGGGAAGCAAGGTGGAGAAACCACAAGAAACTCTCCAAAAACATTTCTTCAACCATTTTAATCAGAAAAAGCGGGCAAAAAGCGGACGCAACTACGGTTATGTGTAATATCAAAGGGTGTTATCATGTTCATGCTGTCTATGATTAATTGAACATTCGGTAGCTGCCAACTATCTACATGATATCAGAACGGTATATATGTAAGACATTTCTTATTGTTAATATAAAAAACAACATGCTTATGATAGTTAACAGAAAGTTAATTTAAAAAAAAAACCTTCATTTATGAAAAGCTTTCTAAACCTATGCGTTATGTTATATTTTAAGAATCCATTTAATGCCAAACTTTGAATCATCACTTCGATTAGTCACCCTTAGATTCAGTCTATATTTTTGCGTTTAATTAACATAGTTCTTATTTATTTAAGGTATTACACAACTGCACAGTTCTACGAGATGACACACAGGGCGCACTCCTCCAATACACAACAGGCGCCCAGCAGCATGCAGCATTCGGCGTCACCGGCTCCTGGAGGGGGTCCTGGCTGATTGTAGCCGGGCTGCTCCACCACCACCACCGGTTGGTTGTACATGGGCGACGGTGCTATCACCTCCACGGGGGGAGGAGGTCCCATCACATTGATCACCTCCACGGGCGGCTGATAATACGGATCGATCACTTCCACCTGATATCCTGGGTTGTACATCCTCTTGCCTTTATTTCTATTTTTTGCGATTTAATGGGTTAAAGTGGTAGCTAGTAACTTGTATTTGGCCTAAACTGTTCAACTAAATGAACACCGCTCGGTAACGCGCCTTTAACTGAAACACCGATCGGAAATGGCTGGCGGTTTGGTGGAAATATCTTACTCATTATTATCTAAAGCCGGTAGGCATTTGATCAATGCTCTGCCCTGATTACGAATTTGTGTACACGCAAATAACATTGAAAAAGCCGCACAGTGGGACAAATTTGAATAACTACTACGAAACACAGCCAATTGCCTTTGAATACGATTTTTCGATAAAACTAGCAAGAATTTGACTAAGAAAATGTTTTGAAGAAGAAAATAATCCGTTAAATAAATCTTTATTTGCTCTAAGCAAAAGTCTGACATAGAATACATCTATTTTGTAAATATTAAGCTATTGAATGACTAAATAAAAGCTAGTAATCTTTATTTCTGTTTACTGCCCATTGTCATCTGAGTTAGGCACGAATCGACTTCCGTAAAAGCACAATACTGGCAATTCCTTTTTCATAAGCAAAACCAGTTTTTCCAAGTTTTTCATGTTATGTTTTTCAACATAACATGTGTAGCTTTTCACAGAGAACTTGAAAAACAGGTTTAAATCATAACGACATTTATTTAAAAAAAACTTTACGATTTTTAATAGTTGTGTATCTTTGTTTATCGTAAAATCAGAACATTTTACCGAGTTCACTTAGATACAAACACCACGGTTTTCCGGCAGGCGTATCACTTTGCGTATGAGTAATATAGTTTGGGCTTTAGATAAACGTTTGGCCAAGAAAGAGCACGGCCAGAAATTATGTTAAATGAGCAGGCCAACACTTGGAAAAGCACTCGCACTCGTGGTCGCACTCCCTCCCACGCAATATCCCAAATGGGAAACCCTCGTCAAAATATTTGGGGCGAGAACTCTGACGCTGCGGTTGCAATTCAAGCGCCAAGAGTCATAAAATCCTTTATCAAATGAGAGCAGCAGGCACATGGAACCGGAGTTGGCAGCACTCTTGACACATTTTCCGCTTTTATTGGCAAATTGAGAAACATATAAATAATAACTCGGAATGTGAACTAACTTTGAAATGATGTGGTGAGCATTGCCAGCCGAAAAGGATTGTCCCTGTTCGGGCGCCATAAAACTACAAATTTTTGTGGCATGTTATTAAATTTGGCTTTTTATTATTATGTGGTCTTTTGACATTGAGATTTATGTAAGACAATATGTTTCCGGCGGGCCCCTCTCAAAAAAGAAAGCAGAGTGTGAAAGCAGAGCACAACATTATTTATAACAAATCGTAAAATTTTATTGCACAAAAACACTGTGTAAATTGTGTGGCCACCATAGACATAGAAAGTTAATTTAACGTAACGCATTAAGGGATCTAAGGTCCTTTGTTTGAAGTCATCTCTGTTCCGTCTCCAAATGTTCTTCACATGATGGTGCAACAACAACAGCAATCGCCACATCCGCAGCAACAGGGGCAACAAGGGCAGCAACAACAGCCCTTTTCTGGGGGCGGTGGTGGGGGTTGAACGATTACCGTGGTCGCTGGCTGAGGCGCCACTTGCACCACCTCTACTACGCGCGTTCTGTGATCCATTTTGCTATCCGGTAGCCTGGTAGTTTATTCTATATTAAATGCCGACTTGTTGCACCGCACGCGTTTAGTATGGCACTGGACATAAAGACGGATTGTGTTATTATAGCCGCGCTCTCGCCAATTTGTTTCTATTACGCTATGAGTCTTATCAGTAGATAAAGCCACTCTGGAACTCTTATCAGTTAACAGCGATTTGTGTGAAATACCCAGTGTTTCCAGGTGGTCTAAACTTGGTTGTCCAACTAGCTTTATGACATTGGTATAAACAATACATAGTTAATTTATTACAAGATTTTGTTGTTAAATTTACACAAAAATGTTGTGGCTAACGTGAGTACATTCATTTCGTCATGCATACAAATTGCTAAAGGCTGATAAGGCTACTGATAATTTTATCTACTTTGTTTTATAATGTCTTATCTGCAGTCTTCCAAACTACGTCATTGAGATCTCAAATTGCATTTAAAAATAGTTTAAGCTAACCTTAAACTTGAGCTCACTAGTTTTGAAGGCAATTATTTTAGCGATAGATGTTTAGCTATGCCGCTCTATTTGCATTTTAGTTTCCATTTAATTTGGAGTTGAATTTCCACTTTAATTACACCTCAGTCTGGTGCACTCATTCCCCCACGACTTTATCAATTGAATGACTCACATTACACAAACTATCAGGGGGAAAATTGAAACACGCTAATGTCGCATAATGTCAAATGGGGCAGCTAATTATATATGCCACCTTATCTGAGCACTCACAACTATATCCGACGACGCACTTTGCATTCGAAACCAGCCATCCAAGTGGCCCCATCAGCATCAGCATCAGCAGCCATATCAATTTCGGGGCGAATAGTTCCTCGTTTGATATCATAAAGCGGGGATCTCAATTAAAAATTTCATCCAACTCCGCAGCGGGGCGTTACCTTGCTGAAATTAATAAAAATATATATTTTTGAGCGCCCCTCGTGCAATGGCGATGATAATTAGTGTACGTGATTCTATTTACTTCGACTGGGCCCCCAAAACCCCGATGGATCCATCCCATCAGCATCCCCTTTCGGCTGGCAAACGGAAAGGGGTCGACGGGTCCCTTAAGCCAAGGGAATGTCCTGTGTGTATGGAGGGTGTAATATGATATGCGCGTAAAAAATATAGTACGTGTGTGCGTGACAATGGCAACAACGTGCGGCAGATCCCTAAAAAAGGAATGGGTGGGCAACATCGGTATGGGGCGACTGGCCTGGCGAAGGCCGGGTGTCAAAAATGAAACTACGCCTGTTTGGAATTTTAAAATAAGCAAATGAGTTTTAACTTGATGAAAGCAAGCAACAACAACAACAGCGGCAGTCGAAGCTGACGCTGAAGCAACAGAAGAGCCCATAAATATTTATAAACTTTCCCCTGTCATATAAATACAGGGTCATTAGTTGGCTTGCATACCTTTCACCTTCTCCTCGAGGATAATAAAAACGAACTAGGCGGCAATTTGAATTCCTCTACTCTATATAAGCAGTCAACTAAGTGAGTCGTTACTTTCCTTCGAATTAAAGAACATAACTGAAAGGTTAATGGGGTTCAAGCCTATTTATTAGTTGGAGCAAGGATTAAAACGTGAAAAGTTCAGATATTCTCAGAAATCTAGGATTTTGAAGGTTTTGGTGTATTAAGTTAATATATGAATAAATACTATACAGAATTAAGGATTCTTGAAATCAATGAAATTAGTTTTATTGTTTTTAAAAATGCCATTAAGAATAAGTTTAAGTTAGGGAGGCACGAAAACAAGCGATTAGTTTAACTTAGGTCAGGATCAAGCCAATTCGTTTTTATTTTTACAGAAACTATTTAAAATTAGTCTCTATATTTTCAGGACAGTGGTGCTTACCAATGAAAAAATATTTACACGATAAAATAAACTATTAGGAATAGTTTTAACTTATTATATAGCTTTAACTTGAAGACTATAACAGTTGTTTAAAAAGTCAGTGAGAGAAACTTTCAAATAGAGGCCCTTTAATAGAGTATACGCAGCGTTGACGCCAAGACTAACGGTTACTTGAACTGAGGTCAGGACCAAGCCTATCAGCGTTTGTTTCTGTATAAACACACGCACATATAATATATACACAATACATATAAAAATGATAAAGCAAAATGGCGAAAAGTGGCAGTAAAAAATAAAATGCGCTGCCGCAAAAGTGCCATTTGTGGCATAAACACATGCGCGCCAAAAACTTTGATAAGACAAAAGCCGAGCGAGTCCACCGAACCAGGTAGGTTTTTGGGTGGTAGGTGGGAGATGGCAGATGGGAGGTAGTGGGTGGTAGTGGGTGGTAGGGAGTGAACTGGCAAGTGGCAGGTGAGGCGGCGAAGGCCGAAAAACTTTGCCAAGTGCGGCGGCAGCGGGAAGGCCAGAGTGGAAATGTCCCAAGAATGAACTTCGTCGTTGGCGCGCAGACCGCAGTGTGCCACTAAATGCTGCCACTAAATGTGTGCCAAGTATTATTGCAGGTGCCAGGTGCCTATCTGAGCACACGTATGTAGATGTGTGTGTGTGTGTGCGATTGTGTGTGTGCGATTGTGTGTGCCAGCTCTCCGCCGAAATTGCCCAAGGAGCTGCTCCTTGAGGTGTTCACCACGCCAGGACTGGCATAAAATTAGCACAATAAAAACACATAAATGCGGCACAAAAACATGAAAATCCACTTGTTATAATTTAATCGAGTTGATAGAATTTTTACGACACCCTTCTCCAGGTATACGTTTGTGTGTGTCTCGCGCGGAGCTTTGCTTAAAATGTGGGACAAAATAAAAGTTTTAATCACACGTCGCCATTTTATTACTGGCCATGAAGATAGCAAATGCATTACGAACCTTACTTGGGATAAGCTTTAGTTTAAATGTTAAGTGCACAATACCAAGTAAAACCACATGGGTTTTATGGACACAGGACAACGCAAATTAACTTAAGGTGAAACAAAAACTATTTTCGGTAAAAGAAAAGACGAAAATTTTTAAATGTTTGCGGTCACCAAAGAATTTTTCTTTTAAGAAAATTTATATTTTAGCCGTATTTATACCGAGTAAAATTGAAAAAGATTAACCACGTTTAAATATCTTTTGTGATTAATATTAAGAGGCACTTATTAACAATAGTAAAATATTAGTTTGGTGTGCAATAAAATTCAAGGATGTGTGTTAACATTTGTGAAATATTTATTTTCCATGTGTAAATTTACTCCAAACAATAGCGAAGAAAATAAAATAGTTGATAAAAAATAAAACTACACCTCAGCTGGGGCCTGAACTGTATCTTCGTTATCCGGAGCACTAACCAAGGAGTGGGTGGCCACGGATTCGGCCTTGCTCTCCCGCCGGGCCTGCATTAGGGTGGCCCGCTTGTTGATCGAGTCCTCCGTGTTGCACATCATGCAGGTCTCGATGAAGAATGTCAGTTCCCGACTTTTGAGT